CTTCCGATCACTGTCATCTGAATCTGAGTGGGCATGTTTCCGGTGAGATTTTTTCGTCTTTCTTCTCCTGTCACTACTAACGTCGCTGTCTACTAAGCTGAATTCAGAATAAGACTTTCGCTTCCGTCTTGCAGGCTTTGCCTTCTTTTCTTTTGCTTGAGCAGCATCAGCTTCCGCCTTTGCTGCAGCCTCTAGCTTCTGTTCCCATTTCAAAGGAGCTTCTTTCTTCTCCAGAATCCTCTTTTTCTTCTCCTCCACCAACTGGATAAACTTCTTGCAGTCCATGTGAATTGCAAAAGCAGCTCAGTATCTGCATTTTGGTATGAAGATAACCCAAAGTGCATCATCTCACAAAAGAGAAGAAAAAACAGTGTTAGTTCTTCTATCATCAGTCATCAACAACTTCCATCTAGCTCTTAAAATTACAAACCCAGAAAGCAAAAAAAAAAAAAAAGTAAATTCATAAAACAATTCATAGTGCAACGAGTCACAATGCCCTTTCAACTTCATATCTAAGAGATCAAACGCTCGGATCTGAGGCTTCTGATCTTTGAAACGAACAATCAAGAGAGCTAAATTTCAGTCTGGCTTTCACTAATTCAGCCTCGAAACAAAGAAGCCCGTACATAACCAGAAGATATAGTACAAATCAACGGTTCAACTCGATCAAATATCATACTATGATCCCTTTATCAATCTAACTGGAGAATCAAAGAACTAGGAGAATCCTAGAAGCGGCGCCGAACCCTAAGAACTCAAAGATCCGCAGTCGAACGTGAACACTAATCAATCTGAGAGAATCAGAGAGCGAACTCACCTCTTTTGAGAAGACGAAGGCTAGGGCTTGACTTTTTCGTTGCTCCTGCCTCTTGCTTCCAGGAGGATCGACGTACTCCGTTCCTTCACCATCTATATATACACAAACCAACATCACATTAGGGAATGCACCCCGAAAAAAGGAAAAAAAAAAGACGTCTAATATCGAACAGCGTGCCGTTTTTGTGATTTGGATCGAAACACCGTCCCGTCTCAGCCCCGATCCCTTGGTCGATAAGGAAAAAAAAGGAACAAATCGAGGAAAGACGCGCAGAGAATTGCACGGAAAAACCAAATCAAATCAAGGTCGATTTGAACGATCCGAACGAAAGGATCATTCGCCATGGCCGCATTCCCTTCGTCCTCATCAGTGGCGACTAATCTGATGCTTGCCATTCACGAGAAGAAGACCACCGCAATCGACCTCCACCGCCCTCTCCGGAACTACGTCGCTTTCACCTACTCCGAGCGCGAGGCTCAGCTTCTAGAGGATGATCTCGAGACTCTGAATCAGCTCCGCTCCGAAGTCGATCGCGCGCAGGATCTGTCGCCGGCGGCTCGTCGTGATCTTCTCATCTCTTATTACAAAGCTTTATGTCTGGTGGAGACACGATTTCCCATCTCCCCCGAGAAGCATCACGTCAACACCGTCTCCTTTCTGTGGTACGATGCCTTTAGACCGAAGCAGAAGGCCACACAGCAGAACATTCATCTCGAGAAGGCCGCCGTTCTGTTCAATCTCGGAGCTACATACAGTAAGATCGGACTAAGCTACGACCGCACCACCGTCGATGGACGCCGGCAGGCTTCCCACGCGTTCATCGCAGCCGCTGGGGCCTTTGCGTATTTGAGGGACAACGAGTCTATTAAAGCGTCGATCGGTCAGAGCATCACTGTCGACGTGTCGGTGGAGTGCGTGGGTATGTTGGAACGGCTGATGCTGGCGCAGGCCCAGGAATCTGTCTTTGAGAATACCATCGCCAAGGGGAGCACCCCTGGTGTTTGTGCTAAAATTTCTAGGCAGGTTAGTGATTTGATCGTGGGTTTTCCCTTTCTTCCATCACCTCTTGCTCTTCACCTTGATTGCAGATATGCAATTTGAATGCATTATGAACTGATGATTTTAGGAATAGATTTTGTACCTTCAGCAGGCAGGTAGCTGTTTGACAAAGCTAGTTTTGTGATCAAATGGTTTAGTTTATGCTATATGTTTTACTGAAATTTGAGGAATAGTTGAGATTGCTGCTCTTGTTTGTTTGCAATTAGGTTGGGTTATACTACGAGGAAGCTTTGGCTGCACTAAATGCTTCCCCGCTGAAGGATCATTTCGAGAAGGGTTGGATATCTCATGTGCTTCTCAAAGCAGCTCTCTTTTACGGGGAAGCTTGTTTTAGGTACGGAATAGAGATGCACGAGAAAGAAGAAATTTCGGAAGAAATTGCACGGCTGAGGAGCGGTATCAGTCATTTGACAGAAGCGAAGAAATCTTCAAAAGGGGCTCCTGCTCAGCTACTAGAAGCCATCAACAAGCTAGAGGCAAGCATTAATTGTAATTTGGATAGGGCCGTCAAAGAAAATGACCGAGTTTACCTGATGAGAGTTCCTTCTCCAAGTTCTTTGTCTCCACTTCCCTCTTTTTCCATGGTTAAGCCGATGAACATGAACGGCATATTGGATGCCAGCAAGGAGAAGTTGTTCACGAGTCTTGTTCCAGACAACAGTGCGAAAGCTCTCTCTAGATACACTGAGATGGTTGATGATGTAATTAGGACACAAGCCGAGAGATTGCAGCAAGCAAGTGAGCTGACTCGAGTTAGGCTCAAGGAGATGGATCTTCCAGATTCTATTCTTGCACTGGATGGACATTTATCTCTCCCTGATGATCTGAAAGACGACGTGGAAGCTGTTCAGATTAGTGGAGGTCCTGCTGGCTTGGAAACCGACCTGCAGCAGCTTAGAGATTTGAGGAGGATTAACCATGAAATGTTGATCCAGACCGAAGAGCTTTTGCAGAAAGAAGCTGCAGAAGACGCTCACTTCAGAGGCCAATTTGGGACTCGGTGGACTAGGCCTCAATCTAGCACGTTGACAAAGAACTTGCAGGATAGGTTAAATCGGTTTGCATCCAATATAAAGGAAGCTGCAGAAAGTGACGCGAAGATTGAGCGGTCCGTGAGAGATAACTCTGCCTTCATGTCAATTCTTGATCATCGGCCGGTTGGTACTTCTTATTATTTGTATATTTTACTGTTTTTCTTCCTCTGGGGCTTGACAGATGTTCTCTGTTTTGGTGGTGAATCGTGTTGGTTTGCTACTTTCAGATAGAGTCAGCCCTTCCAACGCTAGCCAGGCCAATCATGTCTCTCGATGTATCAGAAGATGCTATTCTGGGAGCTCTGAAGCAGAGTCTGGTACGTCCTTTCTTCTCTGGAAAGTTGAATGTATGCTTTTCGAAGGGACTTATGTTGAACATGTCCCACTTCAATCCATCAAGAGAGTCAAGACCCGAACCCAAGTTTTGTTTAATTGTCCCTGAGATCAATTCGTGTCACAGGAAAAGAATAAGACATAGGCAGTAATTTTATGAGATAAAACATTTTCACGTTTTTTCTGCTCTTTTGTGCAGAGGCAGCTGGAAAGTCTTGGTGCTCAACGGGCAGGTCTGGAAGACATGCTCAAAGAGATGAAAAGAAAGGTAAAATCCTCCTTTTGGTTGGTCATCATTCTCCACCTTGTTTATTACCTGATATTGGTATTGCGAACCAGCATCAGAGACAGATTTAGGCCTATGTGTTGTAATTTATGTATTAGGATGACATACTACCGAAGCTGATGACATCCAGCGGGTCCTATGACGATCTGTTCCGGAAGGAGATATCAAAGTATGATCACATCTGCGAAGAAATTTCCCAAAACATTGAAACACAAGAACAACTGTTGATGCAAATCCAGGTATATCAATCATCGTTATCCTTGTATTTGGTAGTTTGTTTTCTAGTATGACTTTTATCCTTCATTGAGAGTCTAGAGAATGAACAATTATGATGGCAAGGAATATGCAGAGGGAAGGTTTGAAATCATCATATGATTATCTGTTGCGAAAATACACTGAGTGCGTTGTAATCTGTTTGTTTCCTTTCCTGCAGACCCAAAATGAGGATTTCTCTGCTATTTTCAATCTGGAAGACTATAAAGGTAAGCAGCTTCTATCTTGCATGTCCTCTCAAGCTTTCTGTTCTCCATTTTTGGAAAGGCGGTGCTTTTATGTCCGTGGGAGTTCTTTTGGATTTCTCATTTTTCCCTGCTGGCTGTTGCTCCCTTCTTCAGCATCCAGAGAGAAGTGCTACAAGCAGATTCAAGCTGCTATAGCCAAGTATCGCGAGATCAAGGAGAACATCAATGAGGGCTTGAAATTCTATGCGACTCTACAGGTTAGCCGCCTTGCCTCGTATGGTTGTTTGTCTTTTAGTGCAACCCTCCTCAGTGTTTGATAGTTTCAACGTTATATATCATTTTAAGTGGCTAGTTCTAGAGGTGACGTGGTATTTCCTTCATTTTTTGGTTTCTGACATTCTATTGGGATATGCCTCTGTCACTGGCCGACAGGACGCAATCGCGAACATGAAGCAACAATGCAGCGATTTCTTGATGACAAGGAGCATCCAATGCCGGGAAATGATGGAAGATGTGCAGAGACAGATGACTGGTCTGAGTTTTCAGGATCACAAGAGCAGTGGCCCATACCAACCACTGCATCAGCCTCCGGCTTCGGGTTCACGACCTCAACCAGAAAATCAGAACCCTTCTCATATCCACCCTCAACCACCATACTATATGTCTCCAGGGCAGCCAATGTATAGGCCACCGGAGCAATCTTCAAGGCCATATGGCAACCCCCCATACGGTGGCCCTCAGCCACCGCCTCCTAACCACAACACATCACATGGGCAAGGGCCTCATCCTCATGGCCATGCCCATGGGTGGCAAGGCTCATACTACAATCCCCAACCACAGCAGCCAGGTCCATTGCCTCAACCTCCTTATACCGTCCAGAGTCCGTACCCGCCGCCTTACCAAGGCGGTTACTACAGGCAATGAGTCGTCTCACAAGTAATAAACCTTGGGCTATCAACTTGTTGGTGTTGATAGATTGTCTGATCATCTTTCCGTGAGTATCAAATCGTATATAACTAATACCCCGTCATTTGTTGAAGTTTGGGAGAATTTACAGATGGTGTCTTTTTTTTTTATGGTAATAGACACCTGGAAGTCTTGTGTGGTAAAAAGTTTAAAACATACGATGGTGATCTTTTTTTTTACTCCCCTGGTGAATGTCAAAACAAAATGTAACATTTTAAATCGTTTGAAGTGCCACAGATTTGTTCTTGACGTACCGTTATTCCTCCTTTGCCCCTTTTCCGGACAGGCGATCAACTACCACACAAGTCAGCAAAATCTTGTCCTGGTTCGATAATTGGTTCAGATCAAGACGCGGGGTCTTCTCTCTTATTTCATATTGTAGTGATATCACAAACTCGAAAGTTTACATCAACGGCAGCCAAAAAAAAAAGAAAGAAAATGAATGTGCAAAAATAGTATGAGAAACAAAAAAAACCAAACAGCACTTGGTTCAGTTAATATAAACCATGGAAGAGGGAGACAACTCAAGCCTGGTCATTTTAGTTTTGCAAGCAGTTTAGGTGCAACCTGCAGATCAAAGAAAGGATCTCAGTATAAATATTTTGACATGTAATCAAGCAAATCATATAAAGTCTCCCAAGCAAAAACCTGATTCATATTAATTTAACTTACACAATTGTCAATACAATGCCAGTAATCAAAGTACTGCCCAGTGCAATGTTTGTGCCCCGTCTCGTCGCTTTCGATCCTCTTCACACATGCCTGAACCGAAAAAGGAAGAAAACATTAGAACATAATGTCCAAGTTGATAGATTTCAAGGGAATATGCATCTATCTCTCAATGCACAGTGGACTGATTTCAAAGTAAAATGCATCTAACCACAAATTGCTGAGGTATTCACCTGATACTCAAGTAGAGATTTCACACATTTGGGCTTGCAAGATTCCTCAAGGCACTTCTTCTGGTCAACAACCTCCTCATCTGCCCTGAAATCATTGAACAAGAACATTCTACCATATTAGGCAAGATGGGTTATTTCAATCTGACAAAATGTTCTAGAGGAGCAGCCCCTATTTTCATAATGGTGAAAGAGAGTAATAGCTTTTGATCGCCATCACAGAGTGTCAACTGGATTCAATACTCATGCAACAGAACGCAAAACCTAAACCCATACAGATAAATGGATACAGCCAGCTTTTTTATGGTTATTTATTAAGGCATCTGGACGCAAATAGGTACAGAAATATATTACAACCTACACATAGAAAACACAGCTAGAATCAATGGGGATAAGGCTTTGTAATGTTCTTACTAAACCTTCGGAATCAGATAAACAATAACCTCATTCCTATATCTCCCGATTTATAGCCGATGATTCAAGTTTTTCATAAATGTAGAGAATAATCAAATCCCAATGTCAAAAAACAAAAAATGTAAAAGATCTACTACACCAAAAAAAAACAGAGGATAAGGAACAATACATATTTCAACATCACAAATGGGCAGGGAAGAAGAAAATGGATCCAAGACAAAAGTAGGACTGAGAGTCCAGAAGAAAGCGCGTCGGACAAAACTTACATCGCGAGCAAAAAAACACAATCGAGGGATCGCAAAACTGGGATCAATAACCTGCGAGCCACAGATCAAATTCTCCGTCAGAAAACATCATCTTCTGGCTTCAAAATCATCACACAAAATTGGAGAAAAAACATAAGAACTGCAAATGGGGATCGTGACCAGATCAGAATCAAGATCGGAATCAAAGATATGAGAAGGAAGGGAGGAAAAAAAAAGAGGTAAATGCGCAAAAAAGGGATACCGGAGAGATGAGGGTGGAACGGAGAGGAATAACTTCCCATCAGTACATTAGTAGAAGTGATATTTATATCCTGTAGGCCCACAAGTTAACAGGCCCTAAGGTCCAATGGGCTTTTTTACCCGTTCCAATTCTTGTTACGTTGGGTGAATAAAAAATTTCGATTATAGATAGAATTTTTCCGCATATGTCATTCGAGATATATGAATCTCTGTGTAGTAGTTTAGCTTCGGTGTGGAAAGGGAAATTTCGGACAAACTTGGTTGCACTTGAAAATTCCGAGAGATTAGACTAAACCTTTGGTTCTTTAAGAAACGAATGATGAGAAGAGATGAGGAAACCAGTGACGGTGAGTTTATTGATTAGCGTAAAAAATACAAGGGTCGACGGGGATTTAATACATGGAAAATAATACGACGATGGTTTGAAAGTCGAGACGTGTGACTGGAAAAGAAATGAACCGATGATGTAAGAATCGAAATTCAGAACTTAGAGAGAATTAATGAAAAACGGAATTGCATCTCTCAACAAACGACCAACCTATTTATAGAAGAGACTTGACAATCACTTGGTGGAGAGTTTACAAAATTCGATTTCTGATTAACTCTACATGTCTTTACTTTTTGGGAGTAAAAATGGGAAAAGTGGCCAGACTCCTTCCATTATCTCCCTTAGTACCACGATTTAAAGAAATAGTTGAGTATTTCTCACTCATTCCTTAGAGCTTAAAATCTGGAAGAGAATGTTGGGATGTTCCTTAGATAAAATATAATGAACCTAGATAAACTAAACGGACTTTAGTCCAAGCCCAAGCCATAGAGAATAGCTGTACACATTCAAGAACTCGTTTTGGACCATGTCCGGACCAAACGGTAAGTCTCGGGACTTAGCAATCTTCGGTTTTGATTCGTCCATGGCGTCCATGACTGCTATTTGGAATCTCTTCGAATCATGTGAGGAAAGTTCAGGTTGGTCCGTGTCCTGCTTGGGAATGAGATAGAGTGTTTCGATCGTGTGTTACGTCCGTAACTCGCACCTACAAAACCGGATGAACGGAAAAAAATACAAAAAACGGATAGGGGAAAAATGATCCCATTTTGTCTTACACATGGGAATGATGGCATGGCCGTGCAGCGAGAAGACATGATCATCGTGATGCGTCCGAAGATTATGGATGGACACGTGGCGGTAGCTGAACGGGCCTTTTGGTGACGCGGCTGATTTTTGTTTTTTGATGAATTTTTGCAAGACCTAATTTTGAAATTTTCGTTAGAATTTTGAAATTTTGGTGCCACGATTTCTCTGATGAGCGGGAATTGCCTTTTCTCTGTAAATGTAATGTTTGAATGAATAACAAAATAAATCAAAATATCAGAAAACAGAGAGAGATGAGACGCGGCGGACGGAGAACGGCGACGGAGGCGGCGGTGGAGCAGCGTCAGCTAGGGAACTCACGAGATTCTGATGTCAGCTTCGCGAGCAGCCGTCCGTCATCAGTGGGTATGGGTCGAGCTTCCGTTGCTTCCGATGTTTACTCCGACAGATCTAACCAGGCATCGGCGATTCGAGCCATCAACGCTTTCCTCTCTTCTCAATCCTTCCCAACCACCCTCCGCACTCACCCCGTCCCTTCCCTCAAGGATATCTCCGAAACCCTAAAGTTCCTCATGTCCGCCGTCGATTTCCCCTGCGATGCTCGCAAATGGGACGACGATCTCGTTTTCCTTCTCAAATCCCTCCACTGCCCCTTCAAGCTCACCAAATCTACACTCCGTGCTCCCAACACCCCTCACAACTGGCCCTCCGTTCTCGCTGTCATCCACTGGTTGGTCCAGCTTGCTCGCTACCACCACCACTTGTCTTCCAACTCCTCCTCCTTCCTCAAAGCCAACTCCATGAATTCATACGCCGTCGAAAGCTATCGCCACTACATTCGCGGCGAGGATGACTTGGTTGCTGATTTGGACGCTAACTTTCTGGAGAAGCTGGAGGCGGAGAAGAGCAGTGTGGTGGAGATCATCGCTGCTTCTGAGAAGTCTGCCACCGAGTTGGAGGCTAAATTGGAGGCTCTGAGGAAAGGCCCATCTAAGAAGGAGGCTCTAGAGAAAGTAAAGGCCGACCTGGAAGAGGATGCCAACAAGTTCCGCATCATCATCGGGGAATATACTGCCCGGAATTCAGAGATCGAGAGAGTTCTGGAAGAGAAACACAAGGAACTAACTGTCAAGCAGGAGGAGAGACAGCGGGTGTGCGAGGAGAATGAAGGGCTGAAGAAGAGGGTTGAGCTTCAGAGTTTCAATGCAAGAGACGCAGAGAGGATGAAAAGGGAGTTGCAAGCTGTGGATAGGGATATCGCCGATGCTGAGGTTGCCAGGGACGCTTGGGAGCAGAAAGCTTGGGAACTCAACACCCAGATCCGGAATCAAATTCACGAGCTTCAGACTCTTGCCATGGATTGCAACCAATCTTTCAGAAGGTTAGTCCACCACTTGACGTCTACTCCCTTGATTCATCCCTGAAAAAACATCATATATTGATATTATTGTAAGAAGGCATATCAGATGGGGGAGATGTTGTATTGACTGTAAATCATGGAGATTATGAGATATATTGTCATTGTCCCCTTACCTTGACCGTTGTACTCATATTTAGCACCGGTTTTTCTTGTGCGGTTGAGGACAGATTGAAGATTAACATCCAGTACAATTTAAACGAGAAGGGGTCAACACCTGCAGAGGTGATGGGCGTCGACTACAAAAACATGGTGAAGCCTGCTTTGATGTCCTATGCTGATGAGATAAACAAGAACTCCATGGGGAGGCTGGAGGAGCTGATCAGCCTTCAACATCAATCCTCTGAAATTGCTTCTAAGATCACAAACAAAGAGACCCTTCTTGCGTCGCTTCAGTCGCAGATTGATGAAGTAAGTACTGCATCCTTGAACTTTTGAGTAGTTTGCATACATGAAACTGTCATTGCATCAGATGGCCTGGCCATTGGCTTTAGATGTTAGCGTCTTTTGCTCTGTCTGGCTTGACCACCTGTCAACACCATTCTGTTCTTGTAAGTGCAACCAATCAAACTATGGCATCACTGATCCAATCAAGCCACCTGGGTTTTACTGAACAGCTTGAGTTAGAAGACGGGCAGTTATGTTTTCCTGAATATGGCTGGTTTGTTCCTGCATTCCTGAGGCCTTTTGCTCTTTTTCATTTTCAGAATGAAGAGAAGATAAATGCAGTGAAAAAGGAAATAGAAGACTTCTCAGCAAAATGTGATGCTGAGGCAAAAGTGATGATCAAAACTATCCAAAAGGAGTCTCTTAATTTGGATGTTGTGGAGAAAGAAGCTGCTGAGGTGCTGAAGGCATCTGAACTGAGATTGCAAGAAGCAGTTCAAAAAAGTGAGGAGGAGGTCCAAGCTTGTGCCGCCCAACTCTTTGCACTTATCGACTCGGTGTCCAAACAAAAAGAGTACATGGACACGCAGATCTCAAAGATCAGGAATGGAGTTGCTGAGGTTGCTACAACTGTTTCAGATGTATACAAAGGGAGCTTCAAGATGCACCTTGAAGCATAATCCGCTGAACCAACCAGAGGTAACATAAAGTTGCTTACTTTTTATGGTTGAATCTCTGAGTGAGAGAGCCTGCTTTCTTGGACTTGCTTCGTTGCCTCTTCTATTATATCAATTAAGAAGAAAAGATGTTTGCATGATATCTAATCTTCAATAATTGAATCATTTAGATCCAGTGATGTGTAGAATTGGAAAAAAAAGCATTCAAACCCGAGTAATTAATTGGTCATTATAAGTTGGGAATCTCACAATAATTCAGACAACAAACAATGTGGAAATGTTTTCAGGCTTGTTCTGCAATCTGATTGAGTAGTGAAGATCTTTCTACCCTCTTGAGTTCTTTCGCCACATCGATCATCTTAGGCACGTCTTCTCCTGGTCTGAATCTGATACATCTCAATGCCAGTTCAAGAAATGCCGACATTTGCATCATCTGATGGTCGGAAACCTCACTCCCATTGTCGAACATGCTCGTGTCTATCAGTTCAGTGAACCGGCCATTCATCACCTTGTGTCTGACATAATTAACGAGTCGGATAATATTTCCATCTACCCAAGTTACTCCGGATTTTCCTGTCAAGAGGGAAAGCATAGTTATTCCAAAGCTGTAGACATCAAAATTCTCGGTGACCAAACGGCTTTTGATGTAGTCGGGCTCGACATAACCAGCTGTTCCGCAAACCGGGTCGGCATCGTAAATGCAAGATTCGCCCTCAGGGATTGATATGCTGTGACAGAAAGACGACAACTTTGCATTCCATGTCTCGTCCAAGAAAATGTTGTCAGGTTTTATGTCCCTATGAATTATGGTCCTGGGAAATGTTGTGTGAAGATATGTTACCGCGCTTGCGATCTCCTTAGCGATCTTCAACCTTATATGCCACGGTAATATCGCATTGTCGCGGCCTGGACGTGCAATCCAAGGAAGAGTCATTTTATCCGTGTACTCACACACGAGAATCAGATGGCGAAATTCTAGGCAACACCCTAATAGCTTGAGAACGTTCTTGTGGCCGCTCGTCATAGATGATATGGCGATGTCGCGGATGATATAGTCTGAACTGAAAGATTCTTGCTTCCATTTCTTGATCAGTACAGGCCGGTCTTCGATCATGCCCCTGTACCATACGAATATCTCCACTGCGACAATGTTGCTGCCGTTGAAATTGTTCGTGGCTTTAAGGATTTCGTCGGAAGAATACGTTCGGAATGGATTGTAAACACCGTGAGAAGACGAAATCAGCTCCTTCAGTAACGAGCTCCCGTTCTCGTGGCGAAACCTTTCCCTTTTGTCGTGACGACGGGAAAGTGGTTTCGCCTCTTTTTTCTTTCTCAAGAAACTCATTCCGCTTCAAAACCAGGACAGTTGAGATCTTCTTTCAAGTATACACTGATGAAAGGGATGATGGCAGAGACAGAGTTGAAACTCAAACCTATTCATGTCGGAAGAACATCGCGCCGCCGTCGAACGCAAAATCGCTTTGTGCGTTGCGGAGAAGACGGTGGCCGACCGGGAGAGGGAGAACAAAAGTCAACTGTCGAGAAACAAAACGAAGGTGAGAACACGTCCGGCTTCGATCATGCCCCTTGACAATGTTGTTGCCGTTGAAATTGTTTGTAGCTTTAATTATTTCAAATCGACTTAATTAAAATCTTGACGATTTAGATTGGTAATATGTTGAAGTTTAAAAAAAACGTAAAGTTTTTTGGGATGTTAAACATTGAATAATATGTTAGAAATTAACCACTTAATTAAAATGTAGAAAAAGGGAAACGATGCCGTTTAGTTGTGGAATTCTTTCAGTGACGATACAGTCTACAAATTACAGCCCAATTCTGAGAAATCTCCCCGGCCGCTGTCGGAGAAAAACCCTAGTTTTCATCCGGTAATTCTCAGAAACAGTAGTGGGCGGTTGAAATTTTCGAAGTTCATACGCGTTTCACGTACCATTTGTCCAGAGCTTACATGTGAGTTATTCATCTTCACAACTTGAGCTACATTTCTGGAAGAATCGACGTAAGGCTCGTAGTTTATCGTGCTGGTTTTCAATCTCTGGGTCTCCGTTCATGGTGCCGTTTTCGTATTTGAAAAGTGTTCATGGGTCTTCTCCATACTGTAGAAACGCCGGAAATTTCGTTGACGATTTGGGTATTGCGTTTCGGTTTTCGGGTTTATTGTCAGCAAGAGCCTTTTCATCTACCGGAGACGTCAAAACTCGTAATGGGCAAAGACAGGATGGATTGAAACACGGCCCATTGAGTGGGTTGCTAGAGAGTTTTGGATTCACTTCTGAACAAGTAACCAAAGTTTCAAAGCATCTTCCAGATGCTTACAGTGCTGAGAAAATTTCTCCAAAGCTTCGATTTTTACGGTCTGTCATCGGCTCGGAGAATGACGTCATTAGATATGTGACTGCAAAACCCAGAGTTCTTGCTTCCAGTTTGAAGAACCAGCTGGAGCCAAACTACAAGTTCATCAAATCAATTCTTGGGGAGGATGATTCAGTTGCTAAATGCATTAGAAATTCTTCACGTCTCTTAACCTTGGAGCTTGAGGGCAATCTGGCTGCTAAAGTTTCTTTCCTCAGAGGACACGGATTCCCCAATGCTTCCATTGCCAAACTGATGCAGAATTCTCCATGCATACTAGAATTGTCCTTTTCAAAACTCGAGGGATCGTTGAAGAAAGCGGAGAATTTCGGGCTCATGCCGTCCAATCCCATAACCATCTCTGCTATCAAGGCGATCGGTCAGATAAATGAATCAAATTGGGAGCAGAAACGGGAGGTTTATAGAAAATGGGGTTGGTCAGATGATGAATTTGTCTCTGCTTTCAAGAAATGGCCTACCATTATGTGTTTATCTGAGGAGAAGATAAACAAGGGGATGGATGTGTTTTTGAACAGGTTTGGAATGAGCTCTTCGGATATTGCCAAATTGCCGAATATCATGTTCTTTAGTGTGGAGGAGAGGGTCATCCCTAGATGTTCGGTCGTTGCTCTTTTGCACTCGAAGGGCGTTCTTGGTGACAGACCTCTTACCATCTCTACTTACCGGGGGGCACTAAGGGCGGGAGAGGAAGCTTTCGTGAAAAGGTATGTCGATAAATATCCAGAGCATGTTCTTGAACTTTGGGAAAAGCTTCGACACAGAGCTGTTGTTTGATTAGGTATTACTCCTTATGGAAGTACATCAGTGTGAATGAACCATGACATCTTTATATCATTTTCTTCCTGCATGTATATGATATTATAGATTGTCAAAAAGAAGTTTCGGACAAGCTCTTGTTTTCGAATGCAATGAAACCCTCATCTCAACAGAAAACAGGAAATTCATTGGAGATTTTGGTTTAGGGGACGCAAAAGAAAGATCTATTGGTAGAGACTTCCTATAAAATTATTTTACTTGTGGGAATCGATCAAGAAAGACACAGTCAGTGGAATTGAGACGGGCGTGTCAGTTTAACGTTGTACTAATTGATCATACTCCTCCTGATGATGAGGAGGATTTCTACAGTCTTCTTCTGTTCTGTCTGGCTCCTCGTTCTGGTTCTTTCTTCTTTGCTTTCTCTTGTTACCTACTTTGCTCAAGGGGAATACTCAAAGAATTGCTCGGAGATTAGCATCTATTGTATACATACTGCATACTAATGTGTATGGATTTTAACAAAATTAGTAATATAACCATAATCACTTCACAATACAGTAAATTAGCAATATCATCATAGCATCACAATATCAGTTATTATAAATCGTGATTGATAAGATGTATATATACTGATATGTGCACCTTATAATGTCTGAGGGGCTTATCTTCAAAATTTAATCCATGTTTAAAGGATTCCCACCATGAGACTTCATTTCTTGGAAAGCTTGTCTTTTTTATAAAAAAAAAATTCAGATATTGATTTCTGTTGTTTATTTATAAATATAGATGGGTAGGCTCAAATTGGTTAGAGCTAAGCCTACTATTAAGAAGAAACAATTCAAATTAAGTTAGGGGTGTCAATCGGAATGAAGTCTATATAGTTAAGTCCGAAGTCTGACCCTAAACTTTGATCGGGTCAGACCGGTCTATATATTTTTTTTCTAAATGATTTTTTTTAAATATCAATCTTTCGGAACGGTCTGAATCAAGTCCAAAACCCTATTTGAGTCTTATCCAAAAATTCAATTTTTTCGAACCGAAAAATTTATGTCCAAAGTCCGCTAGTTTTTGGATTAGGTCGGACGAGATTTCAGACCTCAGACCTAAATTGATACCTTTAAATTAACCAACATGCATCATCATATAAGACTGAAATTGGAAAGGATAGTCTCTTTCACATCATAACATTTCATTAAAGTACTTGTAGTCCAACCAAATGCTTTTCTTTTGTCTTAAGGAGTCTCCATAACGGTTTTTAAGTTAATCCTCAAATGATGCATCCCTTAATCTATATAAAATGTTCATCTAAATAAGATTTGTTTTTCAAAAAATTCAATCCAAAATTCTTATGAACACTAATATCATTCTGTTTATATATCTTTCTTCTTCATCTAATATATCTCTTGTTTTCCATCAAATAAGATATCATCATTTCATTTTAAACAAATGTTTCTAAAATATATTCTCTTTAATCTAAAATTGAGTGGTTGAGTCGGTAAAAAATAGTGCAAAATTCATTTCATTTTCATCTCCGCATAGAAAAAAAATATCCACTTGTATTTTTTTCATTTTAAAAAAAATATATATTTAGGTCAAAAATTCGATAATTTTTCGGATTATAAAATAATTGTTCTCTCTAACTAACCATAGAATTTAACAGAAACATCGATTAATGCTTAAAGAAAAACATATGTCAAAAACCTCTGTTACGGATGTCACATGGATTTAAGGATCTAATCTCATTCTCATATGAAGGAAGAAAATGATAATATTAAAAAGTAGGGTTCAAATCGACCCCACTAAATCTTCTCGATTGATATTGTTTTATATAATCTACCAATCCATAAAACAACCGGTTGTCAATAATGGGTCAGAGGCGAAGGAAAGAATTTTTTTAATATTAAACATTGAATTGTATGTTAATGAATTTCCCTTAAAAAAAAATAAACCACTAAATTATATATATATATATATATATATATATGGAAGAGAAACGATGTCGTTTAACAGCTATACTGCTGCAAATTGCAACCCAATTCTGAAAAATCTGCGTCGCCACTGTCGGAGAAGAACCCTAGTTTTCATCTCTCGGAAACAGTGGTGGGCACCTGAAATTTTTGAAGTTCATTCGCGTTATCACATACCCTTTGTCCAGAGCTTACACGTGAGTTATTCTTCTTCACAACTTGAGCTGCATTTTCTCGAAGAATCGACATAAAGTTCGTAGTTTATCGCGCTGATTTTCAATCTCTGGGTCTCTGTTCATGGTGAGGTTTTCATATTTGAAATGTGTTTTTGGGTCTTCTCCGTACTGGAGAAACGCCGGAAATTTCGTTGACGATTTGGGTATTGCGTTTCGGTTTTTGGGTTTATTGTCAGCAAGAGCCTTTTCATCTGCTGGAGATACCGAAACTCGTAATGGGCAAAGACAAGATGGATTGAAACACGATCCGTTGAGTGGGTTGCTACAGATTTTTGGATTCACTTCTGAACAAGTAGCCAACGTTTCAAAGCATCTTCCAGATGCTTACAGTGCTGAGAAAATTTCTCCAAAGCTTCGATTTTTACGGGCTATTATCGGCTCGGACAATGACGTCATTAGATGTGTGACTGCAAATCCCAGAGTTCTGGCTTCCAGTTTGAAGAACCAACTTGAACCAAACTACAAGTTCATGAAATCAATTCTTGAGGATGACGATTCAGTTGCTAAATGCATTAGACGTTCGTCACGTCTCTTAACCTTGGATCTTGAGGGCAATCTGGCTGCTAAAGTTTCTTTCCTCAGAGGATACGGATTCCCCAATGCTTCCATTGCCAAACTGATGCAGAATTCTCCAAACACACTTGCATTGTCCTTTTCAAAACTCGAGGAAACGTTAAAGAAAGCGGAGAATTTCGGTTTCATACCGTCCAGCCCCATGATCGTCTCTGCTATCAAGGCGATCGGCCAGATAAATGAATCAAATTGGGAGCAGAAACTGGAGGTTTATAGAAAATGGGGTTGGTCGGATGATGATTTTGTCTATGCTTTCAAGAATTCACCTTTAATTATGTGTTTATCAGAGGAGAAAATAAACAAGGGGATGGATGTGTTCTTGAACAGACTTGGAATGAGCTCTTCGGATATTGCCAGATTTCCGAATATCATATTCTATAGTGTGGAGGAGAGGATCGTCCCTAGATGTTCGGTTGTTGCCCTTTTGCACTCGAAGGGCGTTCTTGGTGACAGACCTCTTACCATCTCTACTTACGCGAGGGCAATTAAAGAGAAAGAGGAAGCTTTCGTGAAAAGGTTTGTGGATAAATATCCAGAGCATGTTCTTGAACTTTGGCAAAAGTTTGGTTGTAGAGCCGTTGTTTGATTTAGGTATTTCTCCATGTAGAAGTACATTTGAATGAACTTTGGTAGCCATATGATTTGGAATATAAGTCATTTCCATAAATTTGAGGTTAGAATTCGGGACAGGACATTGAACTCGTGTTAGTTTAACATTGTACTAATTGCAAAAACATTGACCTAGTAAGCTAAATTATTGTCCAATCAACTGCAAAACTCACATCACATGACATGCGATAATGTGGAATGGTTACAACTTGTATGAGGAATTCCGTCTTCTTGTGCATAAATAGTTAATTATCCATTGTACAGTCCGCATCACCATCATAAAATCACAATACTGGTTTTTGTATAAATCGTGATTTGATGAGATGGATGTATGTATGTATGTACGACGTGCACGTTACAATGTCTCCGTCTAAATGGTGAAGTTGAAAATTACATTTGGAACTAGGCCCATATAGATACGGCCCAGTTAAAATATCCAAAGCCCAATTGTTTTTATCCCACATCGGCGAGTCTCAACACGACCAGAAGAATAGCCGCTGTATTTAATAGGCTCACACTCCACAGCAGATCTCTCACGGAGCCGTGCGATGAGCACATAGCGAACTATTCTTTCGCCTTTTACTAAAGAATACCGTGTGCTCGTCGCGCTAAGCGGCATACGCCTATTTTTGGAGGGGATTCGCTCTCTGAGCTAGAACCCCGCAAATCACTGTCCAAGTTTCCTTTCAAATTTTCATTAAACTACGGTAATTTAGTTGTTTCGGGATTGTTGTTTGTATTCGTAAGTTCCTTTCCTTCTATGCAGGCAAATTTTCGTTAATGATTATGTAAGAGTATAGTGATTATTTTTGGGATTTGAGTTCAAATTTATTTTTATATTGGCGCGTTTAGAAACGGAGATCTGGAAATTTTTATGTAAAAGTCCGAGAAGGCATACGGTCAAAAATTTAATCCGTGTGAAAGGATTCTCACTGTGAGAAGGATGATTCTTCATTGGACAGGTAATGACAGCTGCAAAGATCTCACATCGGAATTGAATGTAAGTATCCCACATCGGAAATCGGAATCCAGGGTGGCCCATGAGGCAGAGAACAAAAAGAGCTCGGCTGTGTCCGAGGAAAGGCATCTTTGCGCTTGGGGCAATGACGCAGCTAGTGAGGTTCTAACCGAGGCGCGTCTATTGCTGGTTGAAAACTATTTCCAAACCCCCTCTTGGGCCTGGGCTCTGTCTCTGGCCTTCGAGAATTTCTGGAAGGGCTCCCTCCGGGGTAAGGCCCTACAATTCTTACACGAAATCTTTGAGATAATTAATTGTCACTGAAGTTGGTAAAAATCCCACAAATGTCCTTCATTGTCGGGGACTAGTAGCTTGAAAAGCCATATACAGTGAATTGTTACAAAGTATACGATAAACTTGTTGAAAGTGAATCTCCTGTTTCCCCTTCAAAGCAGGTACACCATTTCACCCCCAAAATATAATCTCTCTAAACTAACCACAGAAATTTAACAGAAACAATGATTACTGCATAAAGAAAATACACGCCGAAAACTCTGTTGCGGTTGACAATGGATGCCCCCTGGATTTGAGGATCTAATCTCATATGAAGGAAGGAAATGATAACATTCAAGAACAGGGTTTTCTTACTGATTTACTTCCATAACGCGAAATACCTAATCAAACAACAGCTTTGCCCCGAAGCTTTTGCCAGAGTTCAAGAACATGCTCTGGATATTTATCCACAAACCTTTTCACGAAAGCTTCGTCTTTCCCCCTAAGTGCCGCCATGTAAGTAGAGACGGAAAGAGGTCTGTCACCAAGAACCCCCTTCGAGTGCAAAAGAGCAACAACCGAACATCTAGGGATGATCCTCTCCTCATAACTAAAGAATATGATATTCGGAAATTTGGCGATATCCGAAGAGCTCAGTCCATGTCTGTTCAATAACACATCCATCCCCTTGTTTATCTTCTCCTCTGATAAACACATGATGAAAGGATGTTTCTTGAAAGCAGAGGCAAATTCATCATCCGACCAACCCCATTTCCTATAAACCTCCAGTTTCTGCTCCCAATTCGATTCATTGATCTGACTGATCGCCCTGAAAGCACAAACAGTCATAGGGTTGGACGGTTCAAAACCAAATCTCTCGGTTTTCTTCAACGATTCCTCGAGTTTAGAAGAGGACAGGGCAAACATTAGTGGAGCTTGCTCCATCAACTTGGCAATGGAAACGCTTGGAAATCCGTATGACCTCAGGAAAGCGACTGTAGCAGCCAAATTTCCTTCAAGTTCCAAGCGTAAGATACGCGGCCAACGTTTGATGCATTTAGCAACTAAATCATCCTCCTCAAGAACTGACTTGATGAACCTGTAGTTTGGCTCCAGTTGGTCCTTCAAACTGGAAGTAAGAACTCCAGGATTTACAGTCACAACTCTAATGACATCATTCTTCGATTCGAGGATAGACCGTAAAAATCGAAGCTTTGGAGAAAGTTCTTCGACACAGATTGAACCTGGAAAAGACTTTGAAAATTTGGCTACCTGTTCATAGGTGAATCCATACCTATGTAGCAACCCGCTCACTGGATCTTGTGTCAATCCATCCTGCCTTTGTCCCCTACGAGTTTCGACATCTCCGGTAGATGAAAAGGCTTTTGCCGACGATAAACCCGAAAACCGAAAAGCAATACCCAAATCGTCAACGAACTTCCCGGCGTTTCTCCAGTAAGTAGAGGAACTAAGAGCCCTTTTCAAATATGAAAACCCCGCCATGAGCAGAGACCCAGAGATTGAAATCAGGCGAGATACGAGCTTTACGTCGATACTTCAAAAAATGTAGCTCAAGTTATCCAGAAGAAGAACTCACATGTAAGCTTTCGTTCAAAAGGGTACGTGATGACGAGTATGAACTACGAAAATGTTAGGCGCCCACTGCCCACCATTGTATTTGAGGATTACCAGACGAAAATTAGGGTTTTCTTCGACAAGCGACGAGGGGTTGCGATTTGCTGTTTGGGGAATAGTTGGAAATTGGAAAAGAACGTACACCTAAACGTCACCGTTTGAGCCACGTACTCGAAGTTTGCGGCACAAGTGAATCATTTGATCCAAATAATATTACATAGGGGTGGGCACTTCGGTTCGGGAATTTAGTACCGACCCGATCCGTCCCGAAACCGAACCATACCGAACCGAACCGAATAACGTTTGGTTCTAATTTGGTACACTTTTTATGGAACCGAATGAACCGTTCCCGAACCGAACCGTATAAATACCGAACCGAACCGTATGAATATCGAACCAAAATTCGAATATTCCACTAATATATGTGTAAATATTATAGTTCGGTACTTATTTGGTATTCATATAATGGTACCGTTCCGAACCGAACCGATACTAAAACCGAACCGAACCGAACCGTTTAACATTCGGTTCTAGTTTGGTACACTTTTTATAAAACCGAAAATACCGTTCCCGAACCGAACCGCTTGAATACCGAACCGAAACCCGAAACGGCCACCCCTAATATTACATAATCTTTCAAAAAGCGAAATTTTAAAGCGAATCGAAAACAATAATGAAAATGGAACCAAATTATAATAAAAATTGGATCGAAAGAAATATAAAACAAAATGATTATATAGTTTTTTAAAATCGGAGTAAGGATCTAAATATAACCAAACCCATTACAACGAACCCAAAACAAAAGCACATGACATGCGATAATGTTATCATCCTCTGTATGAAATCTACGTAAAAGTGTGAGAGAGGCTAACAGTCAAAATTTAATACATGTTCCCACTGTAAATAGACTGTTGTCAATAATATGTCAGAAGTGAAGGGAAAGCCTTTATATATATTTTTTAAAGCATTGAAGTATATGTATATCAAATTGGAGTATATATGCATATAAGAGAAACGATGTCGTTTAACTTAATTTCTTACCGCACCGGACAACTATACATGCTGCGAATTGCCAAACTGCATCATAATCCTGGAAAGGCTCGGTCGCCACCGTCGGAGAAAAACCCTAATTTTCATATGGTAATCCTTAGAAACAGAGGTGGGCAGCTGAAATTTTCGAAGTTCATACGCGTTATCACATGCCCTTTGACCAGAGCTTACACGTGAGTTATTCTTCTTCATAACTTGAGCTACATATTTCGAAGAATCGACATAAAGCTCGTTAGTGTATCGCGCTGGTTTTCAATCTCTGGATCTCTGTTCATGGCGGGGTTTTCATATTTGAAAAGTGTTCGTGGGTCTTCTCTGTACTGGAGAAATGCCGGAAATTTCGTTGACGATTTGGGTATTGCGTTTCGGTTTTCGGGTTTATTGTCAGCAAGAGCCTTTTCATCTAGCGGAGATGCCGAAACTCGTAATGGGCAAAGACAGGATGGATTGAAACATGATCCATTGAGTGGGTTGCTACAGAGTTTTGGGTTCACGTCTGTGCAAGCAGTCAAAGTTTCAAAGTCTCTTCCGGATGCTTACAGTGTTGAGAAAATTTCCCCAAAGCTTCGATTTTTACGGTCTGTCATTGGCTCGGAGAATGACGTTATTAGATATGTGACTGCAAATCCTAGAGTTCTTGCTTCTAGTTTGAAGAACCAACTGGAGCCAAACTGCAGGTTCATCAAATCAATTCTTGAGGATGATGATTTAGTTGCTAAATGCATTAGACGTTCGTCACGTATCTTAACCATGGATCTTGAAGGCAATCTGGCTGCTAAAGTTTCTTTTCTCAGAGGATACGGATTCCCCAATGCTTCCATTGCCAGACTGATGCGGAATTGTCCAAGCATACTTGCATTATCCTTTTCAAAACTCGAGGAATCATTGAAGAAAGCAGAGAATTTTGGTTTTGTACCGTCCAACGTCAGGACCGTTTCTGCTATCAAGGTGATCAATCAGATGAATGAATCGTATTGGGAGGAGAAAGTAGAGGCTTTTAGAAAATGGGGTTGGTCAGATGATGAATTTGTCTCTGCTTTCAAGAGACAGCCTTCCATTATGTGTTTTTCGGAGGAGAAGATAAACAAGGGGATGGATGTGTTTTTGAACAGATTTTGTCTGAGCGCCTCAGATATCGCCAAGTACCCGTGTATGATATTCTTTAAGTTGGAGAGGATCATCCCTAGGTGTTCGGTCGTTGCTCTTTTGCACTCGAAGGGCGTTTTTGGTGACAGACCTCTTTCCATCTCTACTTACGCAGGGGCACTAATGGCGAGAGAGGAAGCTTTCGTGAAAAGGTTTGTGGATAAATATCCAGAGCATGTTCTTGACCTTTGGCGAAAGCTTCGACATGAAGCTGTTGTTTGATTAGGTATTTCTCACTACAGAAGTACAACAGTATGAATGAACCATGGCTCTTGTTTTTGAATTTGAGTGCAAATGAAACCTGATTTGACTGAAAACAAGAAATTCAAGGAGATTTAGTGGATGCAAAAGAAATATCTGTGGATAGAGAAACGTTTGAAGAGATGTCTAGGGAATTGGAACTTTTTGGAAACAAATCTTATCAAGAAGGGAAATTAGAGTGAACCAGAAGCTGGAATCGATCCAGAAAGATAGTCACTATTGAGACTAAACTTATTGCGCGTGTTAGTTTAACGTTGTGCTAATTGATCATCCTCCTGATGATTTCTATTTGTTTCAGTCTTCAGTCTTCTTCTCTTCTGTCTGACTACTCGTTCTGGTTCTTTCTTCTTCGCTTCTTCTTGTCACCCACTTTGCTAAAGGGAAATAGTCAAAGAATTGCTGAAGATTAGCATCTATTGTATACATACTACATAGTGTATGTATAGATTGTAACAAAATTAGTAATATAACCATAATCACTTTACAATAGTCCTGAGAGCTGTTATATAGTAAATTAGCAATATCATCATAACATCACAATATCAGGAATTACAAATCGTGATTGATAATAAGATGATATCTAGTGATACCATCATGTGCACGTTATAATGTCTCGGCCAAAATGATGCGTTTCCTTCCAAGGTGGAACAGTTCTATAGCATTTGGAACTAGGCCCATTTAAGATACGGCCCAGTTGAAGGTCATCAGCCCAATTCATAGAACATCATTTTGTCCCACATCGGCCAGTCTCAACACGACCAGAAGAATAGCCCCTGTATTTAATAGGCTCACACTCCACAGCAGACCTCTCACGGAGCCGTGCGATGAGCACATAGCGAACTATTCTTTCGCCTTTTACTAAAGAATACCGTGTGCTCGTCGCGCTAAGCGGCATACGCCTATTTTTGGAGGGGGATTTGCTCTCTTGAGTGATATTCCCCAACATTTCAATTGTAAGTCAAAATTTTGAAAAGAAAATTGGTTATCATAATATAATTGGCGTATGCATTTGGGAATTCTATTAAAAGTTTCTTTCTTATTTGACGTGTTTTGGCAATCGACATAAGGAGGATGTATCTGTTAAACCAATATCATCATCTGTGTAAATGTACGTAAAAGTCTGTGACGCTTACGACGAATGGTGTGGTCAACGGCACCAAATGCATGCTTTAAAAAACAACACCACCCAGTTTGGTAATGTTTTATATGGGTTTGTATCCCACATCGGAAATCGGAATCCAGGGTGGCCCATGCGGCAGAGAACAAAAAGAGCTCGGCTGTGTCCGAGGACAGGCATCTTTGCGCTTGGGGCAATGACGCAGCTAGTGAGGTTCTAACCGAGGCGCGTCTATTGCTGGTTGAAAACTATTTCCAAACCCCCTCTTGGGCCTGGGCTCTGTCTCTGGCCTTCGAGAATTTCTGGAAGGGCTCCCTCCGGGGTAAGGTCCTACAATTCTTATACATGAAATTGTTGGGTTAATTGTCGATTCGAGATTGTCAAATTAGTTACGCACTTCATGTTGGTCTCTCTTTTACAGGTATTGAGATATCTGTTGCTAATGTATTTATATGGATAGGCTCAAATTAGTTGGAGCCAAGTGTTGTGCTAAGAAGAAACAAATCATCAAACTAAGAGGAAGTAAGCATCATCGTACAAGTCTGAAATAGAAAAGGATGATCACTAAAGTTGGTAAAAATCCAACCAAATGTTCTTCATTGTCGGGGAGGACTAGTAGTTTGAAATGCGATATAGTGAAAAGTTACAAAGCATAAAATAAACTTGTTGAAAGTGAATCATAAAAAGCCCTTGTTTTAAGTGAATCATTTTCAAGATCCCGGATTCGATTCCATTGATGGACAGATATATAATTTTTGGACCAAAATGATCCTTATACAAAGGTTTGATTCCAAACCTAGAGTGGATGTAGTCTGGCCGAAAATCCGAGAAACCATACTAATTATTTAAAAAAAACATCCAACAATATGTTCTCTCTAACTAACCATAGAATTTAACAGACACATTGATTACTGCATAAAGAAAACATATGCCAAAACAACTGTTGCAATTGACAGTGGATGCCACGTGGATTTGAGGATCTAATCTCATACGGAGGAGCAAAATGATAACATTCAAGAGCATGGTTTCCTTACTGCTGTAATTCTATAAGGAGGATAGCTCTCATCAAACGACAGTTCCCCGACCAAGCTTTTGCCAGAGTTCAAGAACATGCTCTGGATATTTATCCACAAACCTTTCCACGAAAGCTTCCTCTTTCACCGTAAGCGCCCCCATGTAAGTAGAGATGGTAAGAGGTCTGCCGCCAAGAACGCCCTTCGAGTGCAAAAGAGCAACGACCGAACATCTAGGGATGATCCTCTCCTCCACACTAAAGAATATGATATTTGGAAATCTGGCAATATCCGAAGAGCTCATTCCAAGCCTGTTCAAAAACACATCCATCCCCTTGTTTATCTTCTCCTCCGATAAACACATGATGGCAGGCTGTTTCTTGAAAGCAAAGAGAAACTCATCATCCGACCAACCCCATTTCCTATAAACCTCCAGTTTCTTGTCCCAATTCGATTCATTTATCTGACTGATCGCCCTGACAGCAGAGACAGTCATGGGATTGGACGGTTTGAAACCGAAACTCTCCGCCTTCTTCAACGATTCTTCTAGTTTAGAAGAGGACAGGGTAAACGTTAGTGGAGCATACTCCATCAACTTGGCAATGGAAGCATTTGGAAACCCGTATGAACTGAGGAGAGAGACTTTAGCAACCAAATTGCCATCAAGTTCCACGCGTAAGATAGGCGGCCAACGTTTAATACATTTAGCAACTAAATCATCCTCCTCAAGAATTGACTTGATGAACCTGTAGTTTGGCTCCAGTTGGTTCTTCAAACTGGAAGCAAGAACTCGAGGATTTGCAGTCACAACTCTAATAACATCATCCTCCGATTCGAGGATAGACCGTAAAAATCGAAGCTTTAGAGAAAGTTTCTCGACACTGATAGAATCTGGAAAAGACTTTGAAAATTTGGCTACTTGTTCAGAACTCAGCCCAGACAAGGGAACAATGTTTTTAGTCCCACATCGGCGAGTCTCAACACGACCAGAAGAATAGCCTCTATATTTGAGATGTCCCCGTTCCTCGACAATAACACACGGAGCCGTGCGATGAGCACATAGCGAACTATTCTTTCGCCTTTTACTAAAGAATACCGTGTTCTCGTCGCGCTAAGCGGCATACGCCTATTTTTGGAGGGGATTCGCTCTTTGAGCTTGAACCCCGCAAATGACTGTCCAAGTTTCTTTTCGAATTTTCGGAATTGTCGTTTGTTTTCGTAAGTTCCTTTCACTCAGGCAAATTTTCGTCAAGGATGAACAAGAATCGTTTATTATGTAAGAGTATAGTGGTTACTTTTGGGATTTGAGTTCAAATTTATTCTTATATTGGCGCGTTCAAAAAGGGAGATGTGGAAATTTTTATGTAAAAGTCTGAGAAGGCATACAGTAAAAAATGTGAAAGGATTCTCACTGTGAGAAGGACGATTCTTCATTGGACAGGTAATGACAGCTGCAAAGATCTCATATTGGAATTGAATGATTTACAAAAAAACACCCAATTTGGTAATCATTTACATGGGTAAGTATCCCACATCGGAAATCGGAATCAAGGGATGCACATGAGGTAGTAGATAAAAGGCGCTCGGCTACGCCCTGCGTTAACCATCTTTGCGCTTGGGGCAATGACGCAGCTAATGAGGTAAAAACCGAGGCGCGTCTATTGCTGGTTGAAAACTATTTCCAAACCCCCTCCTAGGCCTGGGCTCGTCCCTGGCCTTCGAGAATTTTTGGAAGGGCTCCCTCCGGGGTAAGGCCCTACAATTCTTGAACAAAAATCTCAGGGTGAAGTAATTGTCAAATGACGCTGTATACAATTCTGAAATCGAAAAAGATAATATTCCCTGCCAGAACATAGCATTTCACTAAAGTTGGTAAAAATCCAACCAAATGTTCTACATTGTCGGGGTCTAGTAGTTTGAAAAGCCATATATAGTGAATAGTTACAGAGTATACAATAAACTTGTTGAAAGTTAATCTCCTGTTTTCCTCTGTTGCAATTGTATCCATAGAATTTTAACAGAAACAATGATTACTGCATAAAGAAAATACACGCCGAAAACTCTGTTGCGGTTGACAATGGATGCCCCGTGGGTTTGAGGATCTAATCTCATATGAAGGAAGGAAATGAACATATTCATGAACAGGGTTTTCTTACTGACGTACTTCCACAACGAGAAATACCTAATCAAACAACAGCTTTGACCCGAAGCTTTTGCCAGAGTTCAAGAACATGCTCTGGATATTTATCCACAAACCTTTTCACGAAAGCTTCGTCTTTCCCTTTAAGTGCCCCCGCGTAAGTAGAGACGGTAAGCGGCCTGTCACCAAGAACGCCTTTCGAGTGCAAAAGAGCAACAACCGAACATCTAGGGATGATCCTATCCTCCACCCTATAGGATATGATGTTTGGAATTTTGGCAATATCCGAAGAGCTCATTCCAAGTCTGTTCAAAAACACATCCATCCCCTTGTTTATCTTCTCCTCTGATAAACACATAATGGTAGGCCACTTCTTGAAAGCAGAGACAAATTCACCATCCGACCAACCCCATTTTCTATAAACCTCCAGTTTATGCTCCCAATTTGATTCATTTATCTGGCCAATCGCCTTGATAGCAGAGACGGTCATGGGGTTGGACGGTACGAAACCGAAATTCTCCGCTTTCTTTAACGTTTCCTCGAGTTTTGAAAAGGACAATCCAAGTGTGCCTGGAGAATGCTGTATCAGTTTGGCAATGAAAACACTGGGGAATCCATATCCTCTGAGGAAAGAAACTTTAGCAGCCAGATTGCCCTCAAGCTCCAAGGTTAAGAGACGCGACGAATTTCTAATGCATTTAGCAACTGAATCATCCTCCCCAAGAATTGATTTGATGAACTTGTAGTTTGGCTCCAGTTGGTTCTTCAAACTGGAAGCAAGAACTCTGGGATTTGCAGTCACATATCTAATGACGTCATTCTCCGAGCCGATGACAGACCGCAAAAATCGAAGCTTTGGGGAAAGTGTCTCGACACTGATTGAACCTGGAAAAGACTTTGAAACTTTACCTGCTTGTTCAAAAGTGAATCCATAATTCTGTAGCAACCCTTTCACTGGATCGTGTTTCAATCGATCCTGTCTTTGCCCATTACGAGTTTCCACATCTCCGGTGGATGAAAAGGCTCTTGCTGACAATAAATCCGAAAACCGAAACGCAATACCCAAATCGTCAACGAAATTTCCGGCTTTTCTCCAGTAGGTAGAGGAACTAAGAGCCCTTTTCAAATACGAAAACCCCGCCATGAACAGAGGCCCGGAGATTGAAATCAGCGCGAGATACGAGCTTTACGTCGATTCTTCAAGAAATGTAGCTCAAGTTATGTAGAAGAAGAACTCACATGTAAGCTCTCGTTCAAAAGGGTATGTGATGACGAGTATGAACTTGGAAAATTTTAGGTGCGGACCATTGTTTTTGAGGATTACCAGATGAAAATTAGGGTTTTTCTCCGGCAGCGGCGATGGAGATTTTCAGAATTGGGTTGCGATTTGCTGTTTGAGAATAGTTGTTGGAAAATAATTTAACAACTAAACGTCACCGTTTGATCCACAGCAGTGAATCATTTGAAATGATCCAAATAATATATAACAATAACATCTAATGAATATCATTTTTCAAAAACGACATATTGAAGCGAAACGAAAGAAAATGGAAAAATCATTTTTAATAATAAATGAGTATTTTGCTTTTTAAAAATGGAACCAAATTTTCATGGAAATTGAATCGAAAGAAATCTAAAATAAAAATCAAATGATTATAATTTTTTATAATCGGACTAAGAATCTAAATATAACCCAATAAAACTTGAACCAAAATCAAACTAACCAATAGAATTTTCCAAATATCTGATTTTAAGAATAATTTTGCCCATTACACTTATGTATCAACTTGTTTGTTCTTACACTTTCAAGAACTAAATTAACTAATATTACGGAAGTAATTTAACTAATATAATTTTTGTGGATAATTCTATTAAATAATTACACACCATTCATTACTACTAAGTATAAAACACAAAATGGTTTTACAAAATTTGTTTGCTAAAAAAATGAAATGAGTAGCAACAAACATTTACATTAATTACCACAAAAAAAAAATCTTAAAAACAATTATAAATTTCCGAAGGAATAAAAGCTTCTCTTACCGAATCTCCGAAGGCGAAGATTGTTCAAAGCGTTTTTGACGCACTCATGCTTGATAGAGAGAGAGAGTGAAGTGATCAAATTAATACGATCTCTAGAGTCGGTTACATCTCAGGAGATTCAATCATCAATCTCTGATTTTCTCCTCTCTCTCCTGGATTTTTGTTCTCTTCATGATCGATCAGTTTCTCTGCGGTCGCTTCCACGTTGTTCCATGAATTTGCAGCACGGCTGACGAAGAACATCCTCGGATTCTGTCCTGTTTCCTAGTTTCTTGAAATTTCTCAGCCGGAGAATTGTTCCGACATAACTTTTGGTGTTGCTTGGTCGCTGATTCTGACACTCCGCCGGGGAATTATGCCGTTGCCATCGTCTTCTTCGTCTCCCTCATCCACGAGGCCGAGGCCTCGTCTCGACCAGAGCCGTACCCTAATTCCAGGCCTTCCCAACGATGTCGCTGCGCTGATTCTCTCCTTCGTCCCTTACCCTCAAATCTCGCGCCTCAAATCGACCTGCAAATCGTGGTATGCTTTTCTCTCCTCGAAAACCCTAATCTCTCTCCGCCATAAACGGAACAGGAACAGTCTCTCGCACCTCCTCTGCATCTTCCCGCAAGACCCTTCGATTTCTAATCCCTATCTCTTTGATCCGGAAACTCTCTCGTGGTTATCTTTACCCCCCATGCCCTGTAACCCCCACGTGTACGGCCTCTGCAATTTCGCCGCCGTGGCTCTTGGACCATACATCTATGTCCTCGGTGGCTCCGCATTCGACACCAGGTCGTATCCGTTGGACCGACCGATGCCGTCTTCCTCGGCATTTCGGTATAGTTTCGTGAAGTCGACATGGGAAAGGCTGTCTCCGATGCTCTCTCCTCGTGGTAGCTTTGCCTGCGCTGCCATGCCTGGTTCGAACCAGATCATTGTGGCGGGAGGAGGGTCAAGGCACACATTGTTTAGCGCTGCCGGGAGTAGGATGAGTTCGGTGGAGATATACGATGTTGAGAGGGATGAATGGAGGGCAATGGATGGATTGCCTAGGTTCAGGGCAGGTTGTGTCGGATTGTTGGTCCGGAATGAACAGGAGAGGGAGTTCTGGGTGATGGGTGGATACGGGGGATCGAGGACAGTGTCGGGGATTCTTCCTGTGGACGAGTACTATAGAGATGCGGTGGTGATGGAATTGAGGAACAATGACGGTGGCGGAAAATGGCGGTTGGTTGGCGATATGTGGGGACAGGAAGAGAGGGCCAAGCTGGGTAAGATTGCTGCCATCGATGACGATTGTGGGAGTTCTGCCTTTTTCATGTTGGACGGCAACCAGATTCTCAGGTAATCGTTTCATTGCACTCCTGTTTCATAGCTCGCAAAATCTCTGTGGTTGTGCACATTGATCTTCGAGTTAGATCATTATGCTTTTGTAATGGCAATGTTCGAGTTCTGTCTTTCATCAGGAGGAAGCTGTGAATCTGGTATCTTCCAGATCAAGATAGTTCGTGTTTTCTTCTGTTGTCTTTCGAGATTCACATGTTCCTCTTCCAGATTGTTAGTGGTTCATGAGCTTGTTTGTGGGCTTCATTTGAATGAAGCAAGGGTATAAGAAATGTCATATCTTTTGGGGATTTTTGGTATACTTCAGAATTCAAAAAAACTTTGGCTTTCAGAGAGAAACCCCGATACTTCTAACACATCGTCTTAGTCCCGGTATGATGCATTCCATTCTCGTTCTCTTTGTCTGCTTCCAGGTATGAAATGGCGCCAAACCTCTGGCAGAAGGAGTCGACTTTGCCACGGAGAGTTCCTTGTGAAAAATCTTCCGGGTTTGTTGCACTGAATGGCGAGTTGCACGTTATGACTCTTCTGGAGGGCTTTAGCTCTTCAGACACGTCTAGCCAGACGAGAAAGCAGAGAAAGGGCAACAAATCAATGATGATTCAGATCTACCATCCTATGAAAAGGACTTGGAGATCCATCGTGTCGAGGGTACCATTCATCAAAGAACTCGATTTCAGGACCTCAGTCATGTGCACCATTCGCGTGTAAAGGCAGCGAGAACTCTGATGATGCCCTTTCGCATAGCCCAGTTGTTTCTCATATACGGTCATGTAGATACGATATTGGTATTTTTAGCGTATGTTTTACTTTGCATTTGTCTGTGTAGACCGAAAACTTGTCCGATACATTGGTTAACGGGAAGAACTCCAAATCTGGTTTACGATGTATATGATATGGTTTTGTATATGTGGACCTGTTTATGAATCAGACAGGAATCGTTTCGGTTTCTAGGTTGTATGAGATGAGATGATAAGATACAGAACAAGAGTTAAAACTCAAAAACAGTAGACAAGGTACGTCACTAGTTACTGTTACTGTAACAATATTACAAAAGAGACGAATAAGATGGGAAGCTAAACAGACCGTTTGCTCACTGCGAAAACGACGCCGCGAGCTTCTCCTTCAACTGCTCTGCCGTAACACCGTCCTGAGCTCGGACACTGAACGTATGAACCATGCAATCCTCTGTCGCGGTCACGTTAGAATCGTGGGCCGTGACTTGATTCTCTCTGAACGCTTGTATCACTTTTGAAACAGGATGCGTCTCCAACGGACAGCTTAGCCTCACGACCGCATCATCTTGCCTTTGCTGAAAATCGATCTCTGCAGGAGGTGTCTGATTAATCTCCCTCCTGTTCATTATCTGTTTCTCGGTTTCAAAAACTCGGATTTTCTTCTGCAGGTCAGTGATATAAGTGATTGCGTCCGCGAGTAGTGAAGCCTTATCCATCTTCGAGATGTTGGGCACGACGGCTCTCAAGGCGTAAAACCTCTGGTTAAGCTTTTCCCTCCGCTGCCGTTCTGCTTCCACGTGGTTCAGAGCCTCTTCCCTCCCGTTTGCCGGTTTTCTCCCTCTCTTCCTCGGCTTCTGCTCGTCGGTTAGACACAACACGTCGTATTTCCCTTGCTCGTAACCATATACTTGGTTTGAACCTCCGATCGCATCATAGGACTCCAGGGAAAAACCAGAATCATCCTCCATCTTAGGGGAGAAGTTTATGCTCATTGTCTGTGGTTTCGACCCGCCAAGGCTCAGTTCCCGACCGAAGATCTTTGGAGCTGCTTTCGTCTGAATAGGGTCGGCTGCCCCAAACACTGCCTTCACCATCTCTATCACACTCTTATCTTCTGGAATCGTCCTGAAGGAACCGAGTTCCACAACCCCGGACTTCACTGGTACAGACAGCACTGTCTCAAACCCCGCTGATCTCGACAAGAACGACCTAACCCGGTAATAATTCAAACAGCTCGGCAAATCCGCTGCCCAAAGCGGCTTCCCAGTCGTATAAATCCCAGCAGGGCCATACTTAGCCGATTCACAACGGAACGAAAAATACATGGATGCGAGAAAAAACATCTCAAGATCAGTTACACCTTCCAACTGCGCCATTGAATTATCATGGTCTGAGCCACCAAATGACATGTGAAGCTTCTGAAGCGCAAGCCTTTTCACCTCTTCTTGCTTCGGATCTACATCATTCGAAATTCCCCTTTTGCCCTTTGGAGCACGGCAATGGCCATCGCCCCAGATCAAGAGGCAACCATCGGAGTTGCTGAGGCTCGAAGCCAACCAGAAGATGGCGTAATCCCAATCCGAACCTTCGACGACATGGCGTAAACCTTGTTGCAGATTGGGATCATTTGGGGGCACGACCAATTTGGACAGAGAACTGTTCGAAGCCGACGAGATTAAGAACTCGCAAGCTTCGGACCCAATAATGGACTCCACCACCGCTCGATCTTCCTGATTCTCCCAGAACTTATGACCCATGTTTTCTGCTCACGAAATTCGCAGACTTTGTGCCCTAAACCCTAAAACTCAGATCTAGAATTGCTCTTCAGACACATGAAACATATAAAAAGGAGCTAACTTTCGCATGACCCGCGAAGTCAATCATCTCAAAACGCAGCTATAAATGTCAACCAACACCCAACCATCTATTAAATTCACCGGAAAATTTTGAAATCCGAGAGGAAAAAACCCTCGTGGATTGTGAAGTGAGAGAGATGAGATTCGAAGCTTACTTGAGATTCAACGACCCGCAAGTCCGAGTGGCAGTGGCCCTCTTAATTTTTGGCAGCCAGAATCAAAGTTCGTTGGTGTTTCGTACTTAATCGTGGAATCGATGAGGCTAAGGGGAAAAAATCACGTGATTTCTGTGACAGCCACAGAAGAAGAAGAGGATGACGATTTAGGGTTCTCCTTTGCAACTAATGTCCCCTTTTGCTTCTTCCAATGGTTGCCTTGCCTGTCTGGTTCTTACCTCTTTAATCCCTTTTGCACGTGTTTTTTGCTTTTAGTTATTAAAAAAAAAACAAATTATTCAAAGAAACAAATTGATCCACTGATAATGTTCCTCTGATCTTTATATTCAACGAACGGCATTCTCAATAAAGATTCATGATATTCTGATATATTTCGTTTCTATTATCTTGATACTCTGTATTTTCATTTCTATATATATATATATATATATATATATATATATATGTCGTTCAAACGTTTTATGTATTTTATTCGATTCAAATTCATTTTTATTAAATATTCATTTTTTTAAAAATTTAATACAATATTTTTAAAGATTTTTTCAATTATTTTAATTCTGTTGTTATTCAGCAACATATTTTAGATTGATGAGATATAAAATCTTAAACTATAAAATTAATAATTTATATTCAAATGTTGATCATATATTTAATATCTACTTATTTTTTTCTTGATATCTGTATATAACATTTTATTTGTATTATTTTTTAACATTTTATAAAGCGGATTGAATATATATGGACATGTAAATATCTTTATAACTGGAATCTAATGTATATAAATACATTGAAAAAAATAAACAATACAGGTTACAATTATTAAATTAACCACGAATATATATTCTTTACCGGTATAAATTCCTTTTTACGACAGGCATAATTCTGAAAGATTATTGAAAAATGTTTATGAATAATTAAAAAAGTTTAGGTGTGTACTACAGTGAATTGTGATAAATCGTATTCATTAGATAAATAAAAAAATAAAATAATATAGAGTTAGCTTAAATTAATCCCGTTTTTAAAAATGCCCCGTTCAACGGGTTTTTTTTCTCACTTTCGTCTCATTATTCAACTATCCTTGAGAAAAAGAGTGTCACTCGCAGCCTCATGAAGAAACGATGTCGACATTTTTTTTCTTTTTCTTTTTTAAATTATAGCAATCCATCTATTCATTTCTCAAAAATTAAACTCATTCGATTAAACTTATGTTTATTTTTTCTTTAATTTTTTTTAAAAATAGAACTCATGGTATTTATTTTATTTTCTTCAATAGTTAAAATTTAAGGGAGGGGGGGCAGATCAATTTGAAAAATTAGTTGAAAAAAATGGATGGCTTATTAAAATTTTAAGAGAAATTGGATAATTATTAAAATTTTTGGAATTTTGAATGTGGAATAAATATTAAGAACAAGTACCTCTAGATGGAGTTTTTTGTACACCACCCATAAGATATCGTTCAAGTTGACAGGATATTATTATAATTAATACCATTTTTTTTAATAATATTTTGCCCATGTGAGATTTGAACCCGAAAATTAATACCATTTTGTTCGTATCACATTATTTTCCATATGATCATCGACCTTATTGTATAACTAAAAACGTTACCCCCACACATACTAATTCACTTATATACTGGTTCGTTTTCGGTGTAACATTAACCAATTTTGGGAGTTCGGGTGACGATCTTGTAGTCGTCGACCCAAACTCGGACTCGGCTGCACCGGAAATCCTTGGTGACCGGCGTCCCTTCCTTGAGCACTATGGCTTCCACGTTCGGATTCTCCCTCTCCACCACCGCTGCGGCCGCATCTCCGTTCACACCCACAAGCTCCGGCCATGAGTTTTTACCTTTCGTTTCCAAATAAGTTTGTCGTTACGATTTTGGCTTTAGAAAAACTATAATATAACTTTCTCGTTATAATGATCCAAATCCGAAGATGCAATACCAATAACCTATACACCGTACTAGTCATTGAAAGTACATGCAATATTGTATTAAAACAATGCGATCATATATATATATATGTAGGGTTTGTGCTTGAACAAATTATATATACTCAAACATTATATTACCTGGGCACTCTGCCATATATCTCTATAGCTTGATCGATTGAAACTGTTCCTCCACTTGGTGTCTCATATGTGATTGTATGAACTCGTCTGTCTCTGTGTGTATATATACATGCGGGATGTTCATTTGGATAGTTTTCGGCATTTATTTATACATGAATAAATATCGTGGACTTTAGTGAGGGTTCCATTGAAAATTTCAACGTTAGCCGAATTGTTTGACTAGTGGAGATTATTTTAATTTTATCTTTTTATATTTTTGTTGACTTTGACCGTTCTTTCCTTATCTTTCTTGTACGTGTGTTCTCTTTTAATAATACTCTCTCCATTTCTTGGATTACATTTTATAATAATATTTTTATTTTAAAATAAATAACGTTTTGAAAATTTTATATAATTTTTAATATTTTTCCAAATTTATTGTTAAACAATAATATTTAAATATTATATATAAAATCATTGTTTTTCTTAATTTGTGTATTTAAATTTTAAACGATGTCTAAATGAAACGGACAAAACTCTCAAAGTCCTGCCATTCAATCCTAAATATTAATTATATCGTTACAATCAAACTCGACATGATAAAAACTTCTTTTATTACTCGCTAATTAGGGCGATTGTGAAATTCGGATTTGGACCCGACGTTGTATTATGTATTGCGAATCCTCCCTGTGAATGATATGCATTTGTTTTTAAATATATGTAGATGAAAAAGTGCAATAAAAAAATACGTCATTTGGAATCAATTTGTTCTCTAAAATTCATAAATACATATTGTAATTTTTTTTCATTGTTTTGCCTTAGTTTTTCCATATTAAGTTATGATGATGTATAGTATAGAGAATTCCATGTCACTATATATATAATCGATAATACAAAATGCTAATGCCGCGGTGGGACAGACGAAATTTGAATGAATTCGCGATTATTTGAGATGAAATTATCCATATGATATATTCGTATGTTTAGCAAAATACGCATCTTATAATAAGCGACATAGATGTCCAAATTGCTAACGACACAACTTGCGAATCGTATAGTCGATTCACTTATTTCTATATCATTACACTGTACGATGATCAATCACCAACAAGTTATTATTACACATGTTGCCTGCGCTGCGGCATATATATAGAAGTCTAGCCGATGGAAGGAACTCGGACAACGACACGGTTTCCATCAACCCTAACCCGAACACGGTCACACCTGAAGTCTGCTGTCACCCGGCTCTGGACCGGAATCACGGCCGCATCCACCCTCCGATTCTCCCTCTCTATCACTGATGCTGCGAAATCTCCATTCGTCCCCACAAGTTCCGGCCATGAGTTCTTCCCTTTGTGAGAAAAAAAAAAAACGCACCGTGTCATATCGGCTCGATGGTGACAATAATCGAGATTAATGTCGTCTTAAAGTGGATTCACTCTTTAACAAAATTTCAAAAGGTATGGTTCGAGTATCTATATATGATATTTGAAAAGTGAAGAAGCACTTTAATAAGTATTAGGCCAAAGAAAGAGGATTCCGATTCATTTTTCACAAGCCGCAAATAATTCATCAGGACCTCGTTATTCACGTTCTCTAATTAAGGATGGCGATTCGGTTATATAAATAAAATGTGTATAGTCGTTAGAGAAAAATTCACATGTTAACGTACATAAGTAAATGAAAAATCAAAGTTCCTTGAAGTCATGTAAAAAAATCATGATGAAATCTTGAATTACCTTGACATTGAGATGCCATCTCTTCCTTGGTTTATACTAAGCTGATTATATTATGCATGGTCGCTGGAGGCCGGGGGTTTTATAGAACCCCGACTTCGAATTGAAAACCCGGAAGAAAAAAGAAAATCGGGTACCGTAGATGCAAATGTCAAAGGGAGTTAACCTACTGTTTGAATACGTAACGTAACATACATTTGAAATGTAGACCAGCTCATGTTGGCTACGAATTCAAAGATAGGAGGCTGCGCCTTTGTTTGAATTTCATGCAAAACTCAGAACATTACATTGTTTTTTTTGTGACAAGATGGGAACGCGGCGATCCATTTGTTACGTACTATGTATGTATATATATATATATATATATACATACGTACGTGCGTACGTACATATGTATGTTTAGTATGATTGCCATGATATAATATTGTTAAAAAGTCGGCATTTCAATAAAATCATAAATATAATGCTCAAACTAACAAAAATACATTAGTTTGGTTATCAAAACATTCTTCTTGTTTACAATTTTCTATTCATCAACCCAACAAATCGTGAGCGAGTGGTCAAGCTTGGGGTATGAGGTAATTCCACCTTGAGGTTGAGTGTTCGATTCCTGACTGGTGGGAAGGGATGTAATTTCTGGGTTTATATGATTCATATACAAAGGCTGTTCTCGGGCCAGATGTTTATCTAGTCAGCGCACCCGAATGCATGATAGCAGTTGGGGATCCTCCGTTTACAATTTTCTATTCATCAACCCAACAGATCGTGGACGAGTGGTCAAGCTTGGGGTAGGAGGTAACTCCACCTTGAGGTTGAGTGTTCGATTCCTGGCTGGTAGGGAGAGAGGTAATTTCTGGGTTTATATGATCTATATACAAAGACTGCTCCCAGATCCGAGGTTTACCTAGTCAGCGCGTCCGAAGGGTAGCAGTTGGGATCCTCCGTTATAAAAAAAAAAAAATTTCTATTCATCAAACTAATTAATGTAGTGGAGTTTATAGAATACTTTTATTCTTTTTCATATTGTTTTACATAAAATTTGTTTCTTTTTGTTGTTGATCTACATAAAGAAGAGAGATTTTTGTATATATCAAAACGAGCCACGTACGAAATGCTTTGGACTAATACTTTTTTTTATATATAATTGAAATTCGACTTTGATTTATCTGATGGGTGGGTCATAATATATTTCAATGTATACCTTAATTGTAGTAGTGATGATGACAATATAGCATATTGCATATGGGTTTAATAAGATCCCTACAAAAAAAAAAGGAAATACAATGTCTCGTACAAAATCAACTTTTTAAATATATGTATGTAAAGGGTATGTTTAAAATACATCATTTGGAAACAATTTGATATCTAAAATTCATTAATTCATGGCATTTTGTTTTTGTTTCATAGTATTGCCTTAATTTTGTCCGTGTTATAATCATGATGATATGTATTATGTATCGGATTAAACGTCACTATGTGTAACATCTACAATACGAGTGCTAATGTCGTGGTGGGACGAACCAAATTTCAATCAATTCGCGATTATTTGAGACGAAATTATCCATATGATATATACATTCTTTTTAACAAAATACACATCTTATAATCAGAGACGGAGATGCTCGAATTGCAAACACTTTGGTTGATTTTTCAGAACACGGTCGTTTTATTAATGATAAGGTAACGCTTAATTTATCCATCAAACAGACAACTTGCGAATCGTATGTAGTCGATTCACTTATTATATATCATTACATTGTTCTATGACGATCAATCATCAATAAGTTATTAAACATGTTGTCTATTCGATTGTTATTGTACTTATGCATATATATATAGTCTAGCCGATGGAAGGGACTTCAACGACAACACGGTTTCCATCCACCCTAACCCGAACACGGTCACACCTGAAGTCTCCGATCACTGGTATCCCGGCCCGAATCACGACAGCGTCAACCCTCGGATTCTCCCTCTCTATCACCGATGCTGCGAAATCTCCGTTCGTCCCCACAAGTTCCGGCCATGAGTTCTTCCCTGTGTGAAAAAAAAAACGCACCATGTCATATCGGTTCGATGGTGATAATCGAGATTAGGTGGCGTCTTAATTAAAACGTATTATTCAATAACCTACAAGAACTTTAATCGTTAGGCCAAAGTTGTTTTTCATTAGGACAGTTTCCTCACATTCTCTAAGAACGTTTGATTAATTAATTATATATAATTGAATACCAAATAAATAAGTTACCTTGACATGCCATCTCTTCCTTCGTCTAGATTGAGCTGATTATTATGTGTTTGCAATTGAGAGCTCCATCGTATTTATAGACTCCGAAACTCGATTTAAAAAAAAAAGAAAAAAGAGTCGAGAATTGTAAATGCAAATGTGAAAGCGGGTAACCGACTGTTTGAATACCATATATTTGAAGTTTCTAAAAATATGTCAAGAATTTAGACCAAATTTACATGTAAAGTTTTACACGATACGTTATTCGCCTAAAAATAAAAATAAAAATAGAATTTTTTATAAAAAAATCATTAACCTTTTCATACTGCCACGAAATTTTTTAAGTTTATGATTTTATATACAAATTACAAAATTGGTGATTTTAAATAGATTTTTTTAAAAGTAAAAAAAAAAATATATGCCAAGAATTTAGACCAAGTTATATGCCGCCTCTATATTCAAATATATGCAATAGATAACATTATCTTTTTGGTAATAAAATTGTGAACGCAGCTATCCATTTGATACAGAACGTCTGTTGGTCAAAGGTTGATAAATTTCTCCAATATATAGGGCAGCCTTCCAGCAAAGACAAAATGTGCATTGCCACATGACCCATCACACACACACACACATCTAATTGATAGACTTTTTTTTTTTGTTTGATAGATCGGGTTTCCCAGGTTCAAGAGCCCAGACTAATTCCGGCCCACGCATGCGAGCCTGCAACACACACGCTAATCGATAGACTTTGGTTTATGAAAATGTAATTGAATGATTTATGATGAATATTATATCCCATATATATACATTGTATAAAAGACATAATGACATAAAACATTGAAGAAAATATGGAGGAAATTAAATATAATTAATTAGTAGCATAATTTTAGAAAAATAATTGTAATAGATCATAATAATATATCAGTATACTAATATGCCCCGCAAAATCGGTGTCGGATAGAAGATCAATCTTGGACTGAAGAAGTTCAAACCTTTGATGTGGGAGAGATTTGGTGAGAGCATCGGTAAGTTAATCCACAGATAAAACATGAGAGACATGAAGTTTCTGAACTTGAACGAGACCCCGAATGTAATAGTAATCAATGACAAAATGCATGTTTCATCCGAGAATGAAAACATGTGAGATAACGTGATACCGAGCTCAAAGAGGGGAGACATAAGCTATTGTATCTCGAATGCCGTCGAGGAAACTGATTTGTACTCGGTCTCAGTGGAAGATTTTGCAGCAAAACGTTGTTTCTTGGTCGACCAAATCATCATGATCACCTCCCCAGTTGGCATCCGAAAATGCATGTAGTAAGAGAGGAGAGAAACGTGAGATGAAAACTCCGAAAGATCGATCGAATGTCATTCAGATATCGGAGAATACGTTTAAAGACTTGCAAATGATTCGAGCACGGGCGATGCATGTATTGGGATTAATTTTGTTGTTGATTTACATGAAGAATAATGTAGCTTTGTGTGACCCAAAATCTCGAAGAAAATTCAAATGGATTAACTAAAATAAATATATAAATCCTTCCAAATCTGGAAGCAATAAAACCAAAGTGAAAAATACAAGTATAAGAGTCTAAAAAATCGAGCCACCATCCAATAGAAAAATCACACTCACAGTCGAGCTCTGAACCCAGACTATGAACTCGGTAGCGACTCACACTCACACGAATCTTCGTGAAAACGTCGTCGTTCCTCCATAAGCCTAAACCCTTCAGCTCGTTCAAAAGGTTCCCCTGTTCTCGTGTTCTTCAAATCCTCTGCGAGTTTGCATACACTCTCACAGTAACATTTTACATAATTTCCGTATGTTACATGTCGCAACATGATATGAGACAGGTATTGTCATGGCCGTGATTTTCCACGTGTTTTTTCCGGCTCCTAACTACATGACCACCAGTCGGCGCCACCATCCCGAGAATAAATCCTGACCGTTGATGGTGAGACGTACGATATCATCTACGGTCAACAGCACAGAAGACAATGATATATAAATATTAAATATCCCATAAAAGAAAATCCAAAAAATGAGATAAAAAGGAGAGGACGCAAAAAAAAAAAAAATCAGACAATTGCGAAGCAGAAGAAGAGAGAAGAACGCGAACATGGCGTCTGCTCCTAAGCTCACTACTACAATCACGTCTTCTCCATCTATGCAATTGCTCCTCTGCAAGAAACTTCCGATCTCTATCCCTCTCCCTTCTTCTTCGTCTTTTTCTTCTTCTAGATTTCTCTCTTTACCTAAATCCCTAACCTCCCTCTCTTCCCGGCACCGCCGCTTCAGCTTTGTCTCACAGCCATGTCGCAGGTTGACAGTTCGCGCCAACAGCGAAAATGGAGCTGATACCGGCCGCCAATTCGATTTTGACCTCTTCACCATCGGCGCTGGAAGCGGCGGCGTCCGCGCCTCCCGCTTCGCCGCGAATTTCGGGGCCTCCGTCGCTGTCTGCGAGCTCCCTTTCTCCACCATCTCTTCCGAGACTACCGGAGGCGTCGGAGGAACGTAAGTTTTTGCCCTGATTTTTCTTTATTTGTCTCCTTTTATCAGCTCTTATATCTACAAGTGTTTGCAAATTGGTGGAGCGATTTATGTGGTAAAGCCTCAATTTGAGATGATTGGAATCATTTGTCGAAGGAATATGATTTGATTTAGTGGGGAGGATTTGATTGGATGTTATAGAAACGAGAACAGAATTTGGTTGGTAGTTTTGTGGAAAGAGTATGATTTGGTTGATTCCTTTTCCTCGAAGTTTCTGGAGAAGTTGATTGGACAGCTACTAAAGTATCGGGAGCAAAAATTGTCTTTTGGGCAGATTTTCCCAGCATTCGATCAGTTTGGTTTTTCACTTGATTTCTTAATCTTGTTGTTCGAAATGAGTGAATGAACCAACCCATTTTGTGATTTTTGTTGATACAGATGTGTACTCAGGGGATGTGTCCCAAAGAAGTTACTTGTGTATGCATCCAAATTTTCTCATGAGTTTGATGAGAGTAATGGCTTCGGTTGGAAATATGAGACTGAGCCCACTCATGAGTGGAGTACCTTGATTGCCAACAAAAATGCTGAGTTGCAGCGGCTGACTGGTATTTATAAGAACATACTGAACAATGCTAATGTCACATTGATTGAAGGACGAGGAAAGGTAGGGCTGAATCTCTAGAGTTTTGAGAATTCATGCCTTCGTTAATCTAGTTTCTCTAACGTTCGTTGTGCCCTGGACCAATCCATTTCACTTCTTAGAGGATTATGGAAAAATTATGGGTTTATCTGCAGGTTATCGATCCACATACTGTTGATGTTGATGGTAAAATCTATACTGCGAGAAATATTCTGATTGCTGTCGGTGGACGCCCCTTCATTCCTGAGATTCCTGGAAGAGAGTATGTTATTGATTCAGATGCTGCTCTTGATTTGCCTTCCAAGCCAGAGAAAATTGCAATCATTGGTGGTGGGTACATAGCCTTGGAGTTTGCTGGTATCTTTAACGGCCTAAAAAGTGAAGTCCATGTATTTATACGGCAAAAGAAGGTGCTAAGGGGATTTGATGAAGAGGTGAGGAGAGACTTCCATTGCTTTTTTATTTATTATTAAGCTTTTTTTAATTGTTTTTTAATTTTTTGCTATGTAGATCAGAGATTTTGTTGGAGAGCAGATGTCTTTGAGGGGTATTGAGTTTCATACCGAAGAATCACCTCAAGCTGTCGTCAAATCTGCAGATGGCTCATTGTCTCTGAAGACCAACAAGGGAACTGTGGAGGGCTTTTCACAAATTATGTTTGCTACTGGTCGTAGGGCCAACACAAAGGTATGGAAAAATTTGTTTTCTGGAGGATTTTGGTTGATAAACATTTTCAAGATCGTATAACTATTATTAGCTCCTAATTTTGTGCTTTCACATATGAGTTATTATGTTGATCGTGGAATATGACTGATGCATTATTCATTGGAATACCAGAACTTAGGATTGGAGGATATTGGTGTAAAAATGACCAAGAATGGAGCGATAGAGGTATGTTCCAACCATTGGTTTGGCGCTTGATCTTGTATTATTTCATTTCACAATGATTCTCTTGTTATGATCGACTACCAAGAGTATTTGTATTATGTTTTGCCTCTTTGTTGTTAAGGTTGATGAATATTCACGGACATCCGTTTCTTCCATCTGGGCTATTGGGGATGTAACTGACAGAATCAACTTGACTCCAGTCGCCTTGATGGAGGGAGGTGCATTAGCAAAAACCTTGTTCGAGAATGAACCTACAAAGCCTGATTATAGGTAACTTTGATCGGATAACCTTGTGTGCCTAGACCTTGGAATGTACGATGATGCACAAACTTTTTTTTTTTCTATCTATTTAATATAGATTGCTCTTTTAGCAAGCTGGGAAATCTAATTCAGCAGATTGTTCTCTGACGACTCTGGTCTTATTTGTGTTCTATTGTCCAACTAGAGCTGTTCCCTCTGCTGTTTTCTCCCAGCCACCTATTGGACAAGTTGGTCTAACTGAAGAACAAGTACGAATAACTTGCCATATCTATGATTTACATTAAGTAATCAGCAGGTAACTCTATCTGATATTTGAGACATGTTTGCAGGCCATAGAACAATACGGTGATATAGATGTTTTCACAGCAAACTTCAGGCCATTAAAGGCAACTCTTTCAGGGCTGCCAGACCGGGCGTTTATGAAACTCATTGTTTGTGCGAAGACAAACAAAGTTCTTGGTATCCACATGTGTGGAGAGGATTCACCTGAAATCATCCAGGTCTCACTCACAGCATGATCATCTTCTCGTTAGAGTTTATATGAAAACTTCCATGGTCCAATATGATTCTATTTTAAAAATTTCCAGGGGTTTGCAGTTGCTGTAAAAGCTGGATTGACCAAAGCTGACTTTGACAGTACCGTGGGTGTTCACCCAACAGCAGCAGAAGAGTTTGTTACTATGAGGACTCCGACCAGAAAGATTCGGAGAGATTCTCCTGAGGTTTGTTGTGATCTAAGTACTGATTAGTCTTGCCAAATTTGATCATCAGAAGAAATCCTGCAATAGTCACTTCCATCGAATTGACATAATGATTATATTCTCATTTTGTTGTGAGGAAAGCAAATGAATGCATTGAGAATCAAAATCCGAAGCGGTCATTTTTCGATCAGACCTCTAATCCTGTTGCAATATGGGAAACAAAACATTAACCAAGACGGTATTTTTGTAATATTTTTTGTTTCAGGGGAAGACGAATCCCGAGGCTAAAGCTGCTGCAGGGGTGTAGAAGAGGTTGTAAAACAATCAGGGTTCATGGAGTAGGAACTCTCTGACAAGGTATTGACCGTATTTTTTCGCTCCTATTACATGCTCCAAAATCCATAGGCATGGCAAGCATTAGATACATGTGCGTGTACCTATATTATCATGCATATCAAATGGGTTCTTATATGTGCTATATTGTACATCCCTCTTGGTCGCAGGTGATCCTTGTTTTGGCTGTTAGAAAATGCCTTTCTCCTTCGCTTCTTGGAGATGTGATAGATGGATATCCTCTTGTGATGATTTTGATGTTTCAACATAAACTCAACCAAATACCCAGATGGGTAAATCATTCATTCCCAGGTGTGTTTTCCTTTTTTTCTGCATTTCTCTCTCTCTATGTTGCCAATAATTTGTTAAAGGGGAAATCTTTCATGATTCTTCTGATTAGGGTTTTCTCCATCTTTGTTTTTTCTTATTATTGTCTCACCGTTTTGCTTGAAAGAGAATCCGAATAATGCACGAACGCGTTCCATTTTTTTTTTAAATTACGACGATATATACTGTAAATCCGATGAAATAAGATCCGTCTGTATGTATGTTTTCAGCTCCTTTTAACTAACGTATTTCTGTTTTAAATCCCGAGCCAAATTCACTGAGTCTTTTGTGTGAATCCTTTTACAAGTTAAAGATTAAAGAAGAAGCAAAGAAATTACTTTCAGAGAAGAAGAGCACAACTTCAATGACGGTCAAACAACGTTCTTGCCCTTTCTCGAACATTTACCTCGGCCGAGGTTTTCATTTGGTGGTCAAACCCTCCGCACGATTCAGAGACTTCATCTGTTTTTGAAATTACTTCCTCACTGCACTTCTTCGCAGTCGTCGTCGTCAACAACACCCATTCTTATCTCATATGAAATGCGTTTGAATCAATAAAATTTGGATAAATAGAATTTGAACAACTTTTATTTTAAGATGCGACCGGATATTACATTGCAATTTTCTACAAAGAAAGGGCGAAAAAAAGTTGATAGATATATAGTAAATATATGAAATTTATATATTATATTAACAAAAAAATATGACCGGATAGTACATATTGTGTACGACCATGTATAATGGGGGAACAAATATGGACATTGCAAGTGTGTTTTAGCAAAAGTAGGCCAACACGCAGCCTCTGAAGATCGAGGGAAGTGACGTATTTACCTAACACTTCTTCGATATCCCAACGTGGAAGGGCTTCTATTGTCTCCTTACTATATTTCTCTCTCCAAATTCATTCATCAACCAATCCAAAAGCACCTCTCTCTCTCTCTCTCTCTCTCTCTCTCTCTCTCTCTCTCTCTCTCTCTCCGATGGCGATTGCTCTCAAGTCCGGAGTCAGCTTCCTGCAATCCAGAAAACCCGAATTCGGATTCGTCAATTCTTCGCGTAGTTCATCGGTTTCCATCAAGAAATCGACGCCTATGGCTGCTCTTTCGGCCATTTCCGGTTCCACAGTTGGCCTCGCTGATACTTTCACAGAGCTAAAGAAACAAGGAAAAGTAAGCAAATTTAGGTATACTTTAGCTATCTTCCGACGTGGGTCGATTTTTTTTCTTATTTTTTCAGGGTTTTTCGAAATGGGTTTATGTGGGTTTTAAGTTTTATTCTGCAAGTCTGGGAAATTGAAGTGGATGTGAATCCATTTGCGAGAATCAATCCGTATAACACTCCAATGACTGGTTTGTGGACATTGGTTCTGTTTGTTGGTTGATTTTTCTGTGCGGCTCTAGAGAGATTTGAACCATGCAGAGTTGCTTTACGCAAGTGGATATTGAATGGGTAAAGCCGATGTAGAATTTGGACAGTAGACTAGTTTGGTTCGCGGGTTTTTACAATGTTTCGCTGCTAACGTCTATTTGCTTATGCTATTTTGATTCTATGAAAATACGATCAATTTTGACTGGCTCTCTCAAATCGTATGCTTTGTATTACTTGTGTGAGTGAAGGTGGCCTTCATTCCGTATATCACAGCAGGTGACCCAGACCTCTCGACCACTGCAGAAGCATTGAAAGTCTTAGACGCTTGTGGTTCGGACATTATTGAGTTAGGTGTTCCTTATTCTGACCCACTTGCGGATGGACCGGTTATCCAGGTTAGGACCAAATGCAGCTTGAATTACTTTCACTGATGTTGCAGTTTCAGTTGTTTGATTGATCTGCTCCTCATGTTGTGTAGGCTGCGGCAACTCGGTCCTTGGCTAAGGGAACCAATCTTGATAGCATCCTTTCGATGTTGGACAAGGTGGGTTAGTGTCTCTCCGTGTTACCAAAATCTTTTAAGTGTTTCTTATATGTCTTAGATGGAAAGAGGTTTACTCATGACAAAATGTACTGGTGTCTTTTAGTGTTTCTCTTGTTTTTTTTTCCCATGATTTCGATTGCCCTTTTCTGGATCTTCTACAGGTTGTTCCCCAATTATCTTGTCCAATTGCGTTGTTCACTTATTACAACCCGATTCTTAAGAAGGGGTTGACAAAGTTTATGTCTAGCATCAAAGATGTTGGTGTACATGGTGAGTTATTTTTAGGTATTTACTTACATGTGTTATGGATAATATGTGAGAATACTGTATTTAGCATCATCCTGTTTCAGGACTTGTGGTTCCTGATGTTCCTCTTGAGGAAACTGAGATGCTGAGGAAGGAAGCCCTTAACAGCAAGATCGAACTGGTACGTTCTAAAGGTTCTTGTTTCTCACTCCAGAATTTGGATTGGAATTCTTAGATTGTCAGATTCATCATTTGCCTATCCGAAGAAATCAAACTGAATCCTCTTGTGTTGTACAGGCTTGAAAATTAACAATGGGGCATGGCACTAAAAGTTACTTGTTTCCAATCATTGAAGTGAATGTATCCATATGCTTCTAACCGTTAGTGTGTTAGAGTTTTCCATTGATTGTCTTGAGATAGAAATAGTTGAAGCATTTTGATAGATGCAAGGAGAATGCAGATGATAATTGCATGTATTTGGCTAGATCTCTCTCGTTTCCTGATGCTTTTCTTCCCTGTCTAATTCATATTTCCTCCAAATTTGTGATGAAGGTCCTGCTTACTACACCGACCACACCAACAGAGCGAATGAAGAGAATAGTTGAAGCATCAGAAGGGTTTATATATCTTGTAAGATTCCTCACAATGTTTCAGAATTTCCTGTGTTGTTAACACCTCTCTGTTCTTGCTTGGTAAAAAAATTTCACATGATATACTCATTGGAAGAAGTGGGTATCTAAACAAGCTTCTTGTCTTTACTATGGATTAATTGGTGGCAGGTAAGCTCGGTAGGAGTGACGGGTGCACGTTCGTCTGTAAGCGGAAAGGTTCAGTCACTCTTGCAGGAAATCAAAGAGGTCTCTCCTTCTTCTTCTTTTAGCTGTTCTTTTGCCTTTTCCTTAAACAAATATCTGAGAAATACCCTCATACCATTTTGGTTGCAGGCAACAAACAAGCCAGTGGCCGTAGGGTTTGGCATATCGAAGCCCGAGCACGTTGAACAGGTCTGAACTCATCAAGAACACCACATTCTCTTCGTGCGAGCCCTATTACCGAACGTTTTTTTCTCTCGCGTTTTGAATCAGATGGTCAGATGGGGAGCTGATGGAGTGATCGTCGGGAGTGCGATGGTGAAACTGTTGGGCGATGCAGAGTCGGCGGAGGAAGGACTGAAGGAGCTTGAGAGCTTCACAAAGTCCCTCAAGTCTGTTCTTCCCAGCTGAATCCTAAACTCGGTTTTACAGCAGTTAGAATGCTGTTGCTGTTGTTAGCAGACAGTGTTTCTGCGTTTGTCTCCTTTTGTATACATATGTCTGAACCTTGACAGATTCTTTTAGCAGTTTTTTGAAACTCTATAGAACGGTTCCCGTTATTTGGTTCTGTCAAAAAACGATAATAAAGAAAAAATTTGTGTTATAATTCTAGCAAGAAGCTTAAGAAGATAATTATGTGGTGACAAAGGAGATAATCATGTTACAAAAAATGATACAAAAGTAAAAAATATTTTAGATTAATCATTAAATAAATCATTCATTTTCTAAACTTGCAAGAACGCATACGTATGTGCATTGAAAATTCAAATCTCATGCGAGATAATTTTTATATTTTTTAATGGGTAAATTACATAAAAATTCTCCGTCAAAATTTTTTAAAATACTCAAAAACTAATTCCTCATTTTTTTTTTATTCACAAATAAATTTCCAAACTTAAAAAATGTATTGTACATAATGGATTTGTGAAATACTATCATTTTAAATATTGATCAACGTTGATTTTTAACTTTATTATGTTTTAATCAAATATAAAAAATAGGGTACTGATTTAAAGGAAAATAAACAACAGCGAAAAACGAGAGAAGTGAGAACAAAGTGAAGAAAAACGATAAGAAGAGTGATAATAAAACGATTAAAGGTACGAATAGATTCATCATTAGTAAAATATATATTCAAAAGTTGTATGGAAACAGATTCCACCTCGTTCTGCAGGAACATAGATTTTTCTCCAAAGATAAAGAAACCATCTCAAAACGCAACAGAAAGATCAAGAGCACTTGACAATGCTGACAGGAACTCGGGCAGGTCGGAGGCCGATGCGGCCGTCACCAGCTTACCGTCGGCCACGCATCCCTCCGACTCCACGGCTTCGCCTCCCGCTACCTTCACCGTCACTTTCATCCCGTAGCTACTCGCACATCGCCTCCCCTTCAAAATCACAATAAACGCAGATAATACTTTAGTTTTGGTCGAACCAGGGATTACCATTCCGAGAAAAAGAACTAGAGATGCTTATAATGCCGCCGATCATTATGAACTTTGATTGACGCAGAAAAGCAGAGACCAGATGAGCAACACTTCATTGATAGGAAACTATAAAGAAAAGAAGTTACCATGATATCTACGGATACCGATGACTAGAAACAATTCAAAAGAACACGAAATTCAGCCTATCATGCTCATATCTCGTATTTGATCAAAAATCAAAATGATCCTGACATTACTATCTTCTCCGACCGCAATTTCTGAATAGATTTCTCGTACCACGAAACCAGAACTATTTTCTACTGAAATATGAGTTAAGACATAGCTTATAACGCTGAAAAGAGGAAAGACTGGAAATAATTGACCATTGGTATTACCTTAAGAACACCGGCTGCAGCCAGTAGCCATTTCCCCTGTCCAACGGCAGGTAAAAGCTTACCCTTTTCCCCAAACTTGTTAGCTTATAACGCTGAAAAGAGGAAAGACTGGAAATAATTGACCATTGGTATTACCTTAAGAACACCGGCTGCAGCCAGTAGCCATTTCCCCTGTCCAACGGCAGCTAAAAGCTTACCCTTTTCCGCAAACTTGTTGACTAAAGCAATAGCCTTTTCATTCATCACCAGAAGCTCGGGAGATCTCCCTCCAGGAATCACGACGCAGTCGTAATCATCCACACATACATCATCCCACTCGGCTGTCACGAAGAAGTTGTGGCCGTGCTTCTCGACGGGAAGCTGCCTACCCTCCTCGAGATCATAAACAGCCGTAACACAGGTCTGTCCTCTCTTCTTGTTTGGCGTCACTGCATCAACTTTGCATCCCAAAGCTTGGAGTGTTCTGAACGGTACATTGATACCGTAGTCTTCCACATAATCCTATGGCCAGTACACATACAACAAAACATGATCCAGGTTTCTGTTTAACTGCAGTGCGTATCTATATCATGTAATAAATATTTTCTATTGCCTCAAAAGTGCTTATACAAGTACCAAATCTTGAGATACAGAGTATCAAAATCGCTAGCTAATGACAGAAATAGTCAAAGACCAACAAGAAATCATCTTGAGATCATACGAACCTACACTGAGAAAAGGGAACAATGCACTAATTATTACTGTTTCTATGTCGAAGATTCATCATCCAAAGAGCAATAACTCGTTTACAAGGAAAATCAAAACTTACCCCGATGAGGAAAAGCACAGAACTCTGCTTCTCCTTCAAGCTCGAGATCTTCATCCCCAGAGACTCGAGCAAAACCCTAATCCAATGCCCATGCGTCGGCCACCCAATCGCGCTCACGAGATTACCGTCCTTAACGCAATCGGTGATGTCGAACACGCTCTGGATACCGGGCTGTTGCCACCACGCGCCGCCGGAGAGTTCGATCAGAGGCTTCAGGCTCTCGAAGGCCGTGCACTTTAGTCCGCCGTCGGCGAGGATTCCGGCGGCCATGAGCATGATCTGGCTGTGGCAGCTGGTGAAGATCAGCTTCTTGGCCCCAGCGAATTTCGCGACGAGGTTGACGCATTTCTCGTCGGCGCTCAGAAGCTCCGTGAATCTGCCTCCTGGGATGATAATGGCGTCGTAGTTCTCCGGGATGACGTCGTCGAAGTTGGCGTTTAGGGTTAAGTGGTCGACCACAAGCTCGGTATAAAGCTGGGAGACAACAATTTGGAGTCTTTACATATTTCTTTGTAAATAATTGGATTATATTTAAAATTTTCAAAGAATTAAAATTATAAAACTAAAGAATTAGAATTAGAATTAAAATTATAAAAGTTTGGGATTTTTTAAGAGTTTTCCGAAAAAAAATGATCTGAATTTTGTGTTGGGATATATGTATATACCTCGTGGCCCAAGAAATCGTGAGCGGCCATAACGCAGCGGTCGCCGGAAACGCGGCCAGGGGAAACGCAGTAAACGCAAACGCCAAACGCCTGGAGAACGTAGAGAGGCACCACCGTCTCGTAGGCTTCCATGTAGTCACCGCATAGTATCAACGCCGATTTCTGTGCCGCCGATCCCATCGCGGAAGCTCAGATCGCTGTCGCTAACGCAGAATCCGTCCTACCAGAAACTATATGATATGAGCATCATGTATGCATCATAAATAAAGAAAAATGAAAAAATATATTTTTAAAAAGTTCTAATTAACACGTGGGAATTGCATTAGTCAACCACTAATTTCACCTACCTTTTCGTTGGATATATATCGGTCGTTCTAGATTCTTACAAATCCAGCTCATTAATATAAAATCCAATTTTTCTCACAATTTCTGTATTATCCATTTGATTGAAATCTATCAAGTATAATCCCATTTTAAAAACCTGCATTTTTTATACTCATTATATGTGTGTGTGTATATATATATATATATATGAATGGAAAAGATAAGAATAAAAACGAAATAAACATGTGGAAAAAAGATAGAGTAACAAAGGAATAATCCAAAAGACGAATTAAGAAGAAAACTAAAAATATTAAAAAGATCATAAAAACATAATTTAAAATGAATGAAAATTTTAATTTATTTTCTTAAAAAGTCAGAAAACATAAAAAATAAAAAACCAAAACTTGATTTGAATAATAGAAATATTTGCTGTATTTCCTATAATTCAAAAACAAATTACCATAATTTTTTTGGAGAGGCAACAGGAAATTCATTTGTACAAATGTTTATTTTATAACTGGATAATTTCGTAATCTAATAAAATTATCAGATCCAATTGACATTTCGAGAAAAAAAAACTGGGATTCATCATTCATATATTATTCCGGCATAATAGATTGATATACATACCGGATTTGGTGTATAAAACTTTCACAAACTGAATAATTTTAAACATTTGATTATTTGGTCCGAATGTTTAAGATCTTGAACATGGAACCGAGAATCAGATCGGATACTACAAGAAGAAAGTATTTTTAATGAAACATAAACCTCGTTCTTAAAATAAAACACATTGATGCATTCATTCATTCACGACTAGAACACAAGAGAGATGCCAAGAGCATCGGACAAAGCGGACAGAAAGGAAGACATGTCGGAGAGTGTCGCCGCCGTCACGAGCTGGCCGTCGGCGACACATCCCTCCGACTCCACCACCTCTCCTCCGGCGACCTTCACGATCACCTTCATCCCATAGCCGCTCGCACATCGCTTCCCCTGAATTCACAACAATACCCATATGACAAAACAAATGTACTTTCTATGTGGCATTTGAACCTGTAGAGTGGAATCTATGTTCCATATATCAGAGATTCACGGAATCCATACGGAATATTTTACATATTAAGATTTGAAATCCGCTTTTATGATTTCAGATATCCAAAAAAATCTTGAATATATACACTAATATATCAACCTGCATGTCGTGAACAATAAGGATATTTTGTAATTTTTTTAACAAATATTAAGAGTATTTCGTAGTTTAAAAATAGTATATTTAACAATTCCGAAAATTTTAAAAAATAATTTTCTATTTTTTCAATAATATAAAAGATATTTTTATCCGACAATAAAATTAGTATCCGATCTACGAGTAATTTTAATGACAAAACAGCTATGATTTACCTTGAGAACACCGGTCGGAGCAAGCAGCCATTTGCCCTGTCCGAAACCGGCAACGATCTTACCCTTCTCGACGAAATCCTTCACCAAATCAACTGCCTTTCCGATCTGCACGAGTAGCTCCGGCGACCTCCCTCCCGGAACCACGACGCAGTCATAGTCATCCACCCTGATCTCGTCCCACGTGGCCGTCAAGTAGAAGTTATGGCCGCGCTTCTCTGTCGGAAGCTGCTTCCCTTCCTCCACGTCATAGACCAAAGTCACGCATCTCTCTCCTTTCTTCTTGTTCGGCGTCACCACATCGACGTTGCACCCAACAGCTTGTAAAGCTCTGAACGGAATGTTTATGCCATGGTCCTCGACGTAATCCTTAGAGAAAAAAACGGGTCAATACTGTAAGGATTTAACCTAGCTAGGGTTTTTTGCATTTTAAAAACTTACCCCGATGAGGAAGAGGACGGAAGGGTTCTTGTGTTTGGAGTTGCAGATCTTAGCCCCCAAAGACTCGAACAAAACCCTAAGCCATTTACCATGCGTTGGCCAACCGAGCGTGCTCACAAAGTTACCGTCCTTAACGCAATCCGTTATTTCCACAACGCTCTTAACGCCGGGCTGTTGCCACCACTCGCCGCTGGAGAGCTCGATCACCGGCTTTAGGCTCTCGAAAGCCGTACACGTCATCCCACCTGTCAGCAGCCCGGCCGCTGCCAGCATCAGCTGGCTGTGGCAGGGC